CATTTTCCTTTGCACTCCAGCTCGTGTAAGAACTTCCTCATTACTAACTTTATCAGTCCAGGGGATTTTCATCATTCTTCTTAGAAACCACATTTCGCAACTTTCCAAACGCTTTTTAGTATCAGAGGCTGAAGTCCATGTTTCACTACCATACGTACTGGGTAGATGTAACAATTCAATATCCTTATTCTGGTCCTCATACACATTGTTCGATTTGTCAGAATTTTGCCTAACTTTGAAAATGCAGATTTAGCGAGAGCTATCCTTCTCTTGATCTCTGTCTCGCATCTGGCATCCTCGGTAATCATGCTGCCGAGGTAGTTAAATGAGGAGACTTGTTTAATAGTCTGTTCTTTCAGTTTCAAGTTACATTTTGGACTGCTCTTCTTGGATACCACCAGGCACTTTGTCTTGGTATAGTTGATCCCTAGTCCCATTCTCTCACTTTCTTTTACAACTACATTCAGGAGTCTTTGGAGATCTTTCTCTGATTCAGAAAATAAAACAGTGTCATCAGCATATCTAATATTTGTGATTGAATGACCACCCACTTGTATCCCATTTTCATCTTCCAATTCTCTTAGAATGATTTCACTATACATATTGAACAGGTCTGGCGACATAACACAACCCTGTCTGACTCCCCGTCTGATGTTGATATATTCACTACACTCTCCTTCTACCCTGATGCATGCAAACTGATTCCAATATAGACTCTGTAGCAGTCTTAGATCTTTCCTATATATATCAAGCTTTTTCAGCTTTTCAAAAAGTTCTGAATGTCTTACTTTATCAAAAGCCTTTGAATAATCAATAAAACACATGTACACATCCTTTTGCATTTCGACTGCTCTCTCCGTTATATTTCTAACCACAAATATTGCATTTCTTGTGCCCGCATCCTTTACAAAACCAAATTGTTCCCTTCCGACCATGGGAGTTATGCTTCTTCTTGCTCTCAAAAGCAGAATCCTCAAAATAATCTTAGTGATATGGCAAATAAGGCTGATTGTCCTATATTGCTCACAATCCACGGCTCCCGGTTTCTTTGGGAGAGTAATGAAAATGGATCTGCCCAATTCATCTGGAAATGTTCCGTCATCATATATTTTGTTGATAATTTCTGTTAATCTATCAACACCATATTCCTCTAATGCTTCAAACATTTCAGTGACCACACCATCTGGTCCAGCTGCTTTGTTTTTCTTCATCTTTGACATTGCCCAACGGACTTCAGATTTAAGAATTTTCTCCCCTTTGACTTCATCTGCAAAACTCGGCATTGCTTCCCTACTATCCTCAAAAAGTTCGCCAATGTATTGCGTCCACCTACTCATTTTGTCCTTCATTTCAAACAGGATTGACCCATCTTTTCCTTTGATACAGCCAGGGTTTGAACAACCAGACTTTTTTATCTGAAATCTCATTTATTCTTTGGTAAACATTACACTCTTAATGTCAGCGAGTAAATTGTGCCGAGTAAAACAAGTAGAGTAACAAAATGAGCAATTCAGTACTCAAGCTGGAGTAAGACCTTGATTTTAGTGATACTCGTCACCCGAGTAATTTGTTACCTTCGATAAAGAGTAAATCAATGACTCAACATTGAGTACGAATTTCGTTTGTATCAATTTTGAGTAAACTACGGTTGGGTATTACGCTGCGGCAGGTGATAAATAAATCAACATTGATCTCTTACCCGAATTTACCTCGGGTGCGAGTGAAAGTTGGATCGATGGAAAGTGCAACTAGCTGTCAATATGCATGTGACACCTGTTCTACACATTTTTACATAATAGCAGCTGTATGTTCCTTTGTCTACCTAAGGAACTGGATATTTTGTACTCTTTCATTGTCCGTCATGTGCATGTCTCGTGCATGCATGTGCGCGTGCAGAAATATGCGAAAGAACTGAGATACACTCTTAGAAAAAAGGGTGCAAAAAAGGGTGCAAGATAAGAGTTTGCACCCTTTACATAAAAATGAACCCTATTGAAGGAAAAGGGGTTAAAAAAAGGGTGCAATATAAGATTTTGCACCCTTCCCACAAAAATGAACCCTATCGACCAAAAGAGGGTGCAAAATAAAAGTTTGCATATTGCATGCATATTCATGATTACTTTCCACGTGTTCACATAAAAATACATTTATCATGATTTGTTAAGCAAATTATGACAATGCACATCAATTTTTTGATTTTGTATTTTCCTTTGGCAATCATTAACCAATATATTATTTTGTCTGATCATGTTACAATTACATTCACGTTTTAGCAATAGATATATTGATTATATGATTACTAACCAAGAAACATCATGCATGTTTAATATGTATTTGTGTACGAGCAAATTTTACCAGTATTCCTCGATGATGGGTGCAGGATTGCACCTTTTAAAGGGTGCAGGATTGAACCCCTAAAGGTGCTGCTATTGCATCGGTTTGCACCCCTAATGGAGTAAAAACATGTACTTAACTTAATACATGTTTTTACTCAATATTGATTGAGCAACTAAGCGTTACCCAGAAAACATACTCAATAATTGAGCAAAAAAATCGCTCAAACAATTTGAGTCAAAACATGTACTCGTTAATTGAGTAAAATTTGGCTCAACTCATGAGCAGTTCCTTACTCGACATGAGTTGATTACGTTTCTACCCAGTACTGAGTAAAAAAGGAAACCGCTAAACAAAGAGTAAATATTGAGTAAAGGTTGACTCATTCAAACTGAGTAGAGATTTAGTCTTTTATTGAGTAATATTTTTACTCAACAGATGGGTAGATTTGTTACTCAACACATGCTGAGTAAAGTTTACTCAAAAGTCGGGTGGTTTCCTTTTGACCACCCAAAAGAGTAACATTTTGACTCAAATTGAGCAGTTTTTTTTTAGAGTGTACTATTCTTATCGAATTGATTTTCAATTTCTACACATTGTTCGTTTAGCCAGCTCTCTTTTGCCTCATTACATTTTTGCCTAATTTGTTTGTCTAGGTCCCTATATTTCTTGCATTGTCTATTTCCAATTTTCTGTCTATCTTTCATCATCAAAAGAATCTCCTCTGTCATCCATTTGTTCCTTCTTTTTCTCTCTTTCGTCGGCACATACTCTTCCGCTGTTTCTACCAGAATATTTCTCATCGTCTCCCACGTGTTTTCTTCACCTTCATCTATGAGCAACTCAAACCTATTCGTTACTTGTACAGTAAATTCTTGACGTATGTCCGGTTTACTCAACTGTTTAAAATCCAATATTTTCACAACTTTTGGTCTCTTGAGTTTCTTTAATTTGCACTGTAGTGTACATATCACCGGCACATCACTTCCGCAGTCAGCCCCTGGATACGTTTTTGATTGTTTCACTGCTCTTTTAAATCTACTATTTATGGCAACAGTCTATCTGGTTTCTGACGATGTCGCCAGGACTCTTCCAAGTGTATACTCGTCTAGGGTGTTCTTTGAACCAAGTATTAGTGATGACCATGTTCTCCCCCTCACACCACTGAACCCATCTGTCCCCTCGTTCATTCCTTTCACCAATTCCATGCGGACCTACTGCTTTACCCTCTGTACCTTGACCGACTTTAGCGTTCAGGTCTCCCAGGACAATGACAATGTCATTCGATTTGCACTGAGATTTAGCTTTATCTAAGGAATCATAAAAGGTGTCAATAACTTCGTCAGCACTATCTGCCGTTGGTGCATAAACCATATGATTGAGATGTTAAAAGGGTGTCCCTGCAGTTTCACTAGGAGCACCCTATCACTTACACACCAGTGTCCCAACACACTCTTTGAGATATCTGGATCCAGCAGTAACCCCACACCTCTTTCATGCTTTTCACCTCCTGCATAAATCAATCTGTGCTCATCTATCACAAACTCGCCGTTATTCAGCCATCTTGTTTCATTTAGTCCTAATATGTTGACATTTAGCCTCATCATCTCTTGTTTAACATTTTCCAGCTTGCCGCTCTGATACAGTGTTCTCACATTCCATGTTCCAACTCTGATGGTATTCCTATTGCATACATGAAAATAACAATTCTATTCCCTGCATCGTCCTCGAGAGTTCTGTCCCCTCTATTGTCTTTCACAATCTCCCATATCTCCCTTTCTTTGCCCAGTTTTCTGTGTCTCGTTTCACATCTGCCTGTAATATGCCCCATGACCCCCCCCCCCCCCCCCCCCCCCATCTCTCTCTCTCTCTTTCTTTTGGGAAATGTCATTACAGATCATCAAATAAACAAGGATAAAGAGAAGAAGAAAAATAACAGTGGTTTGAGTCTTTTTACATTGGTGGTCAGTTTTTCGAAAAAATGAGGGGGAACTCAGTTTATAATCATATTTATGAACTTGAGCAAGGTCTAAGTAACTCCAAAAACTTTGCAATCGTCTAAATCATTGTTTCAGTTATTTTCCTTATACAAATATAATCATATCATGATAATGATAATGATAATATTACTTGTTTACCTACGGTAACCTGATCAGCATTAATATGGTTATCATTGGAGGTCCCTGCCTGCAATCATATTATTACGGCCCTGCTTTATACACTCAACAGACAAATGCTATATATCGCATGAAACCTTCTTCCGCAATGAATAATACAGGACGGCCACGTACGTTGAACATTTTACAATAAAGTTTTGAATTATCCAGACTTTTTTTAATATCATTTACACTGGATGACTATACCTTAATAATTTGAAGGCAGACCAATAAACCGGATTGTAACTTTCTTTCTTAGTTTCTTTTTTCATTTTTGTTTTTTATATTTATTTATTTATCTGTTTTTCTTTCCATATTTTTTGTTCTTTACCTCTATTTTGTCCTTTTCTCTCTTTCTTTCTTAATTTCGCTTTTCTTTTTTCTTGGGGGGAGGGGGGGGGGGTATAATGATTTGTATGAAAGATTTAAAATAATAATAAAGTAGATTAGCTGAAGGAAACAATATTATTTTTGTTTGCTCCGATCCGCAGATTGTTTGGCAATGCTGCCATCTACGGTCAGAATCAACCATTCCAAGGTGAATGAAGTTGCATGTTTTATCCTGTGGTTGATATTTTTTATCATCATATTCCTACAAAATGGAGTTTCTTTTAGGCATTCAGGGTCCTGATTATGTTTTACTTGCATCCGACATGAATGCAGGAAGAAGTGTTTTTGTCTTCAAACATGGTAAGTGTTACACACAACCTTTTGTTTTTGGAAAAGTGTGTTGAGTTTGTGAATGTGATTTGTAAACTGAGTGAACGGTGAATGAAAATGCAATCTCCTCTTTTGTTAATCTTTAGAAAATCTAGATCTATTTCTTTCAAAAACTAGAAATCAATGTGAAATTTTATTTGTGGGAAGGGGGAAGGGGCGATAGACCACTGACAGAGGTTTTTATTTCATGATGTAGAGGGGGAAATGAACCGTTTTGATGACTGTTATCTCGGAATTGTGCCACCCTAGATCATGTAATGGTCCCATTGCCTGTAATTCGCGTTCGTTAAAATGGAGTGTTGTCGACGTCGGGCGCATGACAACTCGGCTTGCGCTCGGCAGCTCGATCCAACCAGACAAGTCCGCAACCTGGCAACTAATGAATTGATTGCTGATCTCTGAAACCAACGGAGGAGAAGGAGGAGGAGGAGGAGGAAGAACAAGAAGTTGGATTTTAAGCGCACGCCACAACGCCCAGAAAGAAAATGAGAAGAAGAAGAAGAAGAAAAAAAGAAAATGACAAGAAGAGGAAAAAAGAAAAAGAAAATGACAAAAAGACCTAACGGCTAACCATCTAAAAACTCAAGTAAGAAGAAGAGAAGACAAAGAAGGAGCAGGAGGAAAAGAAGAATGAAAAAAGAAGAAGAAAATGATGAAGCGAAGAAGAAGACCCAACCATCTAAACTAGTAAGACAAATTTGTGGGGGGGGGGGGGGGGGTTGGAAGAAGAAGAAGAAAAAGAGAAAGAAAATGGGGAAGCGAAGAAGAAGAGAAGATCCAACCATCCAAACTAAGACAAATTTGTGTGTGTTTTTTGTAAGAAGAAGAAGAAGAAGAAGGATAAAGAGAAACAAAATAAGGAAGCCAAGAAGAAGATCCAAACTAAGACAAAGTCAAGAGTCGTTTGTGTTTTTTTTAAAGAAGAAGATGAAGAAGAAGAACAAAGATCAAGAAGGTGCTGGAGGAAACGAAGAAGGAAAAAAGAGAGAAGGAGAAAGACAAGGAGAAGGAGAAGAAGAAGATATAGTTGAAATGTAAAAAGATGTTATAATCCAACCCGTCGAAACAATGCCAAATTTATGAACAATTGAAATTACTGATCCAGCTAGGTAAAAGCGATGGTAGACTACTATTGTAGAATCTTCCTTGCTCCTAAACTAAGCGTCAGAGAAGAAACTTCCTAACAAATCAAAAGTTGGAATTGTACATCCTAATTTACACTTAAACCTACATGTTCACGATTCAAGTTTTAGTGTTGATAAGACTCGATATATACAGAAATTTGTTTCCAATTGGTGTCACATAGTATACAAAATAAGGTGAGCATAAACATGATATTGCATGTTGAGAATCAGCATCATAAATGCATTCATATTTCAAATGCAAATTAATATAGATAACAATAGCAATATGTACAATCACTACAAAAAATAACAACTCTCCACCTTTTCCTTCATTCTCCTCCTCCTCCTTCATTCTCCTCCTCCTTTCCACTTTTTAGACCAAGAGAAGATGTTTCCTTTGAGCAGTAAGCTCCTCATGTTGTGTGCTGGTGAGTCCGGTGATACTGTCCAGTTTGCAGAGTATATCCAGAAGAATATTCAGCTCTACAAGATCAGGAACGGTAAGTAAATAATAATAATATATTACATTTTATAAATCCCCTTTTCATTAGATACAAAGCGCATAAACAAGAAATACTAACAGATAACAAAAAGAGAGCACATTATGATATGAAGCTTACGTTAATTACAAACAGAGAGGAATATTACAACAAATTAGAAAATATGTGTTTTCATACATTTCTTGACAACTGTTAGAGTATGACAATTCTTAAGTACAGGGTGCAAAAAGTCAGTTTTATCGGTGAGATGGCCATGTTTAGCATTCAGCAAAAATGTAGGCTAAGGGTTACCAACCTAAAACACTGCCAGGCTACCAAACAGCTCTTTAATTGACCTCTATCTTGTTGAAATTCTAATGCACTGCATACAAAAATGGGTGCGCCACATAATATGTGGCATGACAATTTAGTCCAAACCAAAAAGCAGCTATTTCTTATCATATTTTTTATAGGAGGCTATGTGAATAGCAATCCTTTTCAGGGATCCTTTCTATTTTGATATTTTATTAAACTGACATAAAAAGAGTGAGAAAGCAATTAAAAAAAACCCAACCAAAATGCACTTTACCTTTATCATTGTAGCTGGCAGCTTACAGCTTTGTGAAAAAAGTAGAACGTATTTTTGGACAATCGTTTGCATGGTAAGAAGTTTCAGAACTTCATTCAACATAAAGAATATCAAATGGTTGGTAAAAACTGATTGAACAGCAGAGCAGCATTGATATACACATATACTTGATATGTTTGACAATTGAAGGATCTTTTCTTAACAGTGATTTTACGTTACCGATAATTCTTCTCGTTAAAATCTGTTACAGGTTATGAACTGTCACCCAAAGCAGCTGCTAACTTCACAAGGAAAAACCTGGCAGACTTCCTACGCAGTAAGGTAAGTAAATCTTACATGATTTTCAACGCATATCCTTAGTGCAAAGACCACAGCAAAATTCAATATATCTAGCTGTACGAGACAGCACATGCTCCTACGACGATTGCTCAGCGATCAATTTCATCCGTTAACTGAATTTCGAACAGGACCAATCCGACCAAACACTATTCCAAGGCCTTACCATGAACCTAATCTAAGGCTAATACCCAAATGCAACCTTAACCCAAATCCTACATCTAAAGCTACATGTACACGTATGTCTTTGAGGAAAAAATGTCTGATCACTATATTTTTTTCCTTGTTGCTATCAGTAAACGGATGTTAATAGCATTTTGTTAAGTGACTAAATGCTAAGATAGGCTGCAATTCATGTGAACTTTAAATGTTGCGTAAAGAATGTTTAAAATGCAAAAAAAGCTGATGGTCAGAAATTAATCCTCCATCACAGTCTCGAGTATAAATTCTAGGTACTCTTAATTCTTTCTAATATTGTTATGCAATTTTCTTGTTTTGTTGTGTTAATCACATATTGTATGTAAATTTTTATATATATTTTATGAGAAGTGGAACTAAATAAATGAAATGAGATGAAATTATTATAACTTTTTTGTTTTAATTTTTTTAAACCAAATATATCAATGCTGCAGTCTGTTTGAGAAATGCTTTGCAGTCTCACACATTGATTTAAATAATTGCCAAATTCATGAGGCCCCTATCAACAGTCAGGTATTGGTAATAAAATATGTACATTTAAAGGGGCATGTTCCCCGTATTCCAGAGGGCGTTCAAAATACGTACCCGCTGGCGGACGGTGCTAGCTGCCTATTGACATCAACAGAATACGGCTCTTACGCAGATGGCATGTTCCGAATGCCCGGACAATGTCGATTATCGCATACATGTGCCGAAGTAATACCAATCGCAGTTCGGCTCTAAGATTCGGCTGCTGTATCCGCCCACTTTCGTGACGTCGCAATCGGCAGCAATCAGCTGGCTTGGCGAAGGCAGGCCAGGCTGCGCGTACTTTGATTGACAGCTGTATGCAAATTAGAAGTCGACCTTCGGAACCAAGATGGCGATGACTAGAGCAGCGATAACTACACTGGCGGGAACATGCCCCTTTAACTAATAATTGAGTCTCCTGTTTGCCCATCACAGACACCATACCAGGTGAACCTACTCTTAGCTGGTCATGATGAGACGGATGGTCCTTGCCTGTTCTACATGGACTACCTGGGTTCACTGCAGCAGGTCCCTTTCGCTGCTCACGGCTACGGATCCTACTTCACACTGAGTATCCTTGATAGGCACTACAGGAGAGGTGAGAGTTGGCTAGTATATTCAATTCAATTCAATTCAATTCTGGTTTATTGTAAATAAAACATTCTGAATAAAAAGTCCAGAGACTCATACAATTCAGTTTACAAATTATAAATACACACAAGAATATAAGAAATCAATACTATTAGCAATCTTCATATTAATAACTAATTCTAATTAACTAAACAACTTATATCAAATAATCGTAAAATAAAACATGTTGTAATTATTCAGTTATAACATTTAAATAATGAAATGTATATGTAAATAATTCATTGTGATTGAGCTCATTATACAATCTATCAGCACCTGAGGTGAGGCTGCGTGCATCAATTTTATTGAGCCTTCATGCTGAGTATGATAGGTGCACACATCCTCAGTGAGAGCAGATAGATTTCATCAAAAGTAGCGAAAATCATGTGTTTCATACGACACTCCTAGATGATTTTAAAAGGAGTCATTTGGAGATTACTCAATGTCATTAAAAAAAAATTGAGTTTAGTGCGCTTACTTTGGCGCACACACACCATATGCTGAGATGCCAACCCTCCCTGATTTTTAAGGAGGCCTCCTTATTTTTATTTTTTTGATACGGCACTCCACACAAACTTGAATGCCTCCCTGATTCATTGAAAGATTATCTCTATTATGGTGTATGCAATCGATAGAAACCTCCCTGATTTCGGAATGAATCCTCCCTGAAAGCTGAATGTAAAGGTGGGCATATGCATATGAGGACACTTACCTCCTCGAGCACTGCTGGACATCATACACTTACCAATTGTTTGATAGTACTGGAAAGCATTTTATTTCATTTTTTTAATTGAAAAAATATATTATATTCTTTGTGGTTCAGAATTACTGCCTTCACCAGATCTTACAGGAGTGAGTTGTATTATATTGGATAGAACAGCATGTGCTTAGGTTTATTTGAATAAGAATAAGTGGTATGACATGGAGAGTGAGTAGATCACAGACTAGTTTGGCTTCTGCCACCTATATTTCTGATTGTACTTAAATGTAAATGTCTTTGCTCACTCTTTCTCCATCTTATCTTTCCTTTATATGTTACTCAGATATGACTCGGGACCAAGCAGTTGAAGTGTTGAAGAAGTGCCTATTAGAGGTAAGTGGCCCATCTGTGTGACATCTTCATCGTCGGCTGTCCACAACAAGGCCGTTTCTACTGTTGACAATGTCGTTACGGCCTTTTGCGGGCAGCAGCCGATGATATGTCATTGATTAAACAAATCTCACATTTTAGTGCAATTGGGACATTATGATTAAAAATGGTGCTAGATGTACAAGTAAAGATAATCTGAAAGTTTGAGTGAAAACAGACCATTATCAATGATAAAAATTGGAAAAAACTGATCTGATCGATTCCTTAATTCTCCCAACTATATTATTACAATTCAATTACATTTTAGGTGAATTTAAATTGTCACAAAGCAATTAATTGGCTCTATATACCATTCCAGACGTTGAAGTGTTGAAAGATTTGTAAAAGCCTGTCTTATGTCTTATTTTCATAGAAAAACGGTTGGGTAACATTTCATACAAAATTACTCAATGTTTTCATCCACCTTCAACAATTTTACTGAGTCACTTTAATGCTAGCTTCAATAACAAACTTCAAGGGAGGGGGGGGGGGGGGGGGGGGGATGTGCATATATCCATGGATTTAATTTTCAAAATACATAAGGTTAGTCACAGGTAAAGGTTGTGTTGGGTTAGGGTTAGTTATACAGTGAGTCATAAAAACACAGTTTACAATTGGGAAAAAAGTCTCTTCACATACAAATCTGGATATTCTCATACATATAGATGTGGATTGTTCAGGGTCTGTCCTATCAAATAGAACCAAAGAATCAGAGCATGTTTAATGCTTGAGTGAGACGCAGAAATGAATTCATTTGATCCCAGTACAAGTTTTCATCACTCTGGCTTGCCATAACCAGTGAAAAGAATTTGTTGCAACTCATTATATATATGCCTATATATATATTTTTCTTCTGTCTGTCTGTGTTATTACAGGTCCAGAAGAGGTTCATTGTCAACCTCCCAACGTTCCAGATCCGCATCGTCGACAAGGATGGTATTCATGAATTACCCAACCTCCCTTTAAAGCCTGCAAAAGCCTAGCATTACCATGGCAATCCATGAAACATATTTTGTAAATAATGCATACTGTATGTTCTTTTGTTATCGTTATTCTCAAAGCCTCTTAGGCTGTGGACCATTTTGTGAATGAGACAAGACGAGAAGGTAGTAAGGAAAAATGAAGGAAACTTTAAGCTCCCATGAATAAATGTTTTAATGCAGCATTGCAGGTGCAGTGATCTCCTCCCTTCCCTTTCTTGCTTGCTGTTGTTGCAAGTTTACATCTGTAACAGTAGCGAATCACACAGTGAAATCTAATCAATGTGTAGATTCATGTTTACAAGGGATATACATATATATTCTTTTCTTCTATTTGATAAATCTATTATGCCTCCTTTGTAGAACATACACCCATGTATTTCTACAAAAGGACACCAGTTTGAGTTTGTAAAAGAGAAAGAATGAAGGGAGATCCATGTCTCGGGCAGTTGCTGGTAGTGTAGTAGGTACATAGATGATGTTTGTGTTGTTGGGGTGTAGCTGGGAAACAGATGAGATTCGGTTTAACTGGATTCCAGGCCCACTGATGTAATTATTCTACCAAGATTAACATTGATGTGTAACGGTCTCATGTGGCATAAATACTTACCATTGCCTTGCTACAGGAACCTGGTAACTCCAGTACAAAGCCTATACACAAGAAAATCCAGGAGTCCAATAAAAAGAACACAAGGTGTTTCCCTATCAGTGTCGTAGACTTATTCAACAGTATACATGTAATAATAATAATGGGTTAAATAATATTGAAGGAGTGATGCAGGGTGAAAAGTTTTTGTTTATTCTCATCAGAGCACACAGAATTTTGCCCAGCCACAATGAATGAATTTACTGTTACTTTTATCTTTCTTCCAACCTGTCATCAAATTCCCTGCTAAAGTGGACTGTATATTTTCCCTGGCAGTTTATGGATAATATGATACTTATGCCCATAAAAAAAACAAATTTCTTAAAGATTGTAACCATAGCACATGGCTATTGTCACTTTTTGTTCTACACCTGATCATTTTTGTAATGATTAAAGCGAAGATACATGTATTTTGGTTCAGCAGTTTTGGTTCATAGTTCATCTAGTACATTTTAAGTGGAATGTCAAAAGTAAATTTTGAATTCTCTTACACTAGAGTGACTAGACCTCAAGTTAATTAATGTGAGATGTTGATTTGTTTTGTACATGTACAGATGTAATAAACTCTTCAAACTATTATATTCTGTGATTTTGTATCGTATGTAAATGTGCATTAATATTAGGTTTTACTTGTACAGATTCCCTGCCTGGAAAAATGCAACTAAAACACTTTCCAAAAAACCACTTGAGGGAGATGAGAAAAGCAGTCCTTATCCTGAAGCCAGTTTGGTCTTTGTCGGCAGATGGTTTTCTGTAATTTTCACACACATTAGGCCTTTAAGCCTGTCTGTACTAGTTTGGCCAGGAGGGATTAGACCACCCAGGGTGGTCACTGACAGGTGGCTATCTCATCAACTCAGCTCTCAATTAACATTAGAAAAAGAGGATCATGGGGAACCAATGGTCACCAATTAGGTATAGAGGGAGCAAGTACCTACAAGTAGTACAATGAGGCATACTAATATTATGTCTAGTCATGAACGCGGATGTAGTTGGACAATATTTCTTTGAACTATTATTTTTAATCAATTTTGGCAGCATTCATGTAGATGACCATCCCTGCTTCTATATCTTTCTCATGGGTATTATTGAACGACACATGCTCTAGAGCCAATTGCTCCATCATCAATTTCCGACATTAATCAAATTCCTCGATGCAACTCTAGACCAATCACTGTATCCAGCACTAACCTAAACCGAAAATTGAAACCATAATCGCATCTCAAGTTCTAACCCCTCGGGCCAGTTTCTCAAAACCGTCATAAGTCTAAGTTCTAGACATCCCATATAAAAGCATGGTCATTCTATGACACGTTTCAATGGGAAGTCAAAGAAGTTAGACTTGTGATGGTCTAGAGAAACTGGCCCCACATCTCAGATGAAATACAGCCTGAAGCAATTGTCAGATCAATGAATCCTCCTCCCCCCCCCCCCCCCCTCCCCCTCCTCCACCTCCCACTCATGGAAACATTGCACATCATAAAAATCTATCCTTACAAGCATGTACTTACAGTACTTTTCTTTAGAAATTTTATTCAATTGTCAAGATTAAATAATATACAAATGTGAACAAATTCTGTATTCCTTTTTGTCATACAACGTCCAACAGAATACAAAAGAACAGAAGTCAATATCATTTCTTTATACACATGTAAAAAACAAAGTGCAATTTTACTGTGGCATGAATGATGTATCCATTTACAATGCTCAAAATTACATGTACATGTATATAAATACACATTACACAAAACAGGAGAAGTGTGAAATCACTGCACATTTTTTTTGTCCAATTTCTCTGACTGCAGAAAGCTGTTCTTATAAATGTAGTGCATACATGTACTTTTAACAGGCCGAGAGATTTAAATTTGCCTACATGTCTAGTAGAGACACCCTAAATATAGTATAGGAATCATAAGATCCACAAAAAATGCAACTTTCAGGTAGTGACGGGTTGTCCAATAAAAACAAAAATGGCAACTTGAATATGATTTAACAAGATCGAGCATTTTAATGACTCATAAAATCTAACTTTCACAACAAAACTAAGAATTTTATTTTTATAATAATTCTATTTATTTTGAATAAAACTCCAGATGATGATCATAATGGATGTAATATGTTATGCATTACTGAAGGCTTTTTCGGTAATCCATGCAAAAAGAAATTGTGGTTCAAAACATTTTTCTGAAGAAGTACACTCAAATTGTGCTAAATGTAGAAATTCAAATTAAATCTTAAAATTGGCAACACTTTGCAAAGGAAAATGAAAAAAACTCCCTGTTGGCAATTTCTCATACAGGGCCTGTACATGCACATCAAAATCATAGATAAACAATGTAAATAAATATTCCAAAACAGATGTTGCCCACATATTTATCAAGCCATAAAATTAATTTGAAAAAACAATGAAAACTGGGCAATTTTGCACACTGAAGATAAAGAGTTACGGTACATGATACGTGCCTCTGAGGACAAAGCGGGAAAGCATTTGAACAATATTGCCCTTTTATGTCATTTATGTCATTTTGCTTAACAACCGTTTATACACTAGGGGATATACATGTACATCTGATGGCATAGAAAAAAATGCTTTGACAAAAACAAAAAGAGGGGGGGGGGGGTTAAATATGTCCAGCACATTTATCTACCCGTACTAAATAGGCATGATCAAAACAACCTTCATGTTTGTCAAATTTTCAACCTGATAAATCATGCCAATATCGCTTTTCAATTTCAACCAGATAAAATTGTTGATTTTTAGAAAGTAATAATCTATTTAACTTGGAAATTAACTGTCTGGTTTGAACTTTGAAGAGGAATTCTTTAATAAAAACAGCATTTGCCAACCTTCCCTGTACTACAGTGGAACCTGATGTACATGTAATATCAGTTGAACAGTGGTCGCTATAAGAGACTGAAGTATTTGGGTCCATAATCTGTGCATGAATAATCTCAACTTCTATAGTAAATCCCACAACAGGTATGATGAAACTTTAGCCCTATTCCCTCACCCCAATCCCTTCAGATATCGGCAGTTGGTCGAGTTGGCAAAACAGCATTAAATTTGCTTCATACAAATAAAGCAATCCAACAATCACACAAGAACACCTGATGTTTTAGATTAATTTCTTTAATAAAACAAAAGAAAATCTATTGAGGGTCAGTTATACAAAAGGAGGAGTCCAATATCAAGCTCAAATTCCTTCTTTTTCACCAAACTCTGAGATATCCACACAAAAACCTGATGAATCCATGATTGAAGACTGTACAAGAATGTCCAACATAAGTGAAAAACAATACAGTTAACCAGATCACTGCTATCATTCCCTTAGACCGACAGTCGTTGTAATCACAATACAGGCATTGAGGCAATGAACCAAGTTGTGACTTGCGACAGCTAGAATTTGCCTTTGAATCAAACTTGATCCGAACAAGCATCATTCCTATTCATCTTAGAAGTTCTTCTCCGAAAGGCCGAATACATACAAGGCTACTGACAGAGCTACACATGTCCTTTCTAGCTTCCAGAAGGCATCTTTCATCTCCTGCGTTTAGTTGAGGGCGTTTCTGTTGGAGTACCAGCTTGCCGCGTTCTCTTCCTCTTGGGCGAGTTGTCCTTCTCCGATGGTGTGCCCGCAGTGACGCCGCTCGGTGTGCCAAATTTGATGGATGATCTTGCAGAGTCCGATTTGGAGCCTTCACCAAAAAAATTAAAAGATAGAAGGATTTGAATTGATTTGAATAGAAAATATGAAAGGTCAACAGGCAAATTTCCCTCCAGAAGTATTGAAATACTACCCTTAGACACATGCTATAATAAACATGTCGTTAGGCCCTGTCTTACAAAGAGTTGATATCAGTCGCATCGTATTTGCGATTGATATCAATAGCAACTATGTAAATAAGAGATGGGAGACTGCAAACTTGCGATTGATTGGAGGACTTGCAATTGATTTGGATCAATCGCAGCTCTTTGTAAGATAGGGCCTAGCTGCGGTAAAATAAAACAGTGTAACTAGAATAAGGATGCATGGAGGTGGTGAACGAAAATTGCTGCCTGAACAATACTCACAGCCGCATACTCACCTTTCTGTGTTTTAGAGATGTAGGACTGTAAAGCGTACTAGACTGTAAACTGACATTTAAGTTTTTTGGGGGCTAGTCTTTGATAAACAGTTAACATTGGCATGTGTCAATAAGGCATTAGCCTACATGTACATATTGCCCCTAATCTTTACACTCTATTTTATATTATAATTGTATTTTCTCATTGGTTTTACATTTTTAATATGATATTGGATAGTTGAAATACAGTTGGCAAATTCCATTAACAAGATATTTACACAAGCTTTATATCGAATTTTGTTGTCAATATTTTTGAGACATACCACTCAGTCCCATCTATTTCCTTTCACTAGAATGTCTGATTATCAACTTACTATCATGTGATGAGGATGAGAAGCCTTTGAAGGGTTCTCCAGACTTGCCTCTCTGTTGCATCATCTCCTGGAATTCACTCGTCGGTAGAGAGAAGTCCACCTCTTTGTTGGGGAAGGGCAAGATCTCTGACTCATGCTGGTATGAGAGAACAAATAATAGAATAAGTCATGATGTTACAAAACAAATTCTTTCTATGCCATTATTAAAATCATCTCTTTGTGCCATATTAAATTTATCATGGGGTAGTTTTACCAAAGGCAACAAGTTTATTAAAATGTTTCATGTATAAAATTAATACAGACACTGAGGGAATAGTAGTCACTTGTCAGGAAGCTAAATCAGAAACAAGAATCAAGAATTCAAGACCAGATAAAGGGTACATTCAATACATTGCAAAGTTTTTGAGTTGCTCAGATCGAGAGCAATTATTCTATTGATTATTCTATTTTTCTCTGCTGATCATCATGTATGGCAAGAAAGCAGCTCTGCCAAATGGCAGCGGTAGTAAACAAAAGGTTATTTTCATACATTAAGGAATTAATACATCCAAATCTGGATCCTAACAGTAATTAATCATAACCCAAAGCCCACCAGCAACCCCAACACTAAACCCTTGACCCTTGATATACTAAAGCCAGAAGCTAAACATCAGGGCTTCATTTCACAAAACTTGTCATCAGTGACAAAGACAATTTTTGTTATAAGCTAAAATCCTTGCTTCTGATTGGATATCAGCAGATTTGTCACTGATTTTTGTCATTTGTCATTGAAAGAAGGCTTCGTGAAACGGGTCCCTGCTGCTTACAATGCCAGAGGAAACAATGGATAACCCCTGCTACATGTAATACCATGACTGGGTATGACTTACCAATGCCTGCATGTCATACAAGGTTTCCAGGTGGTCCCATATCTGTTTGGAGGTCACCTGACGACCTGTGGCCTGGTTGAACTTCTCGTGGATACACATCATCTGAAAATTCTTGTTAACACCTGCGTGAACAGAGAGGTAGAACAAAATACAAATGTATCAACATGTTACATTAGTGCTGCCTTAGTGATTCATAATATTATCTGTTGAGCAGCAAGGAACCAATGGGACTTGTAATTTGATATATTATATTGTGCCTTCTCATGCTTATCTCCTATCTAATGCACATTTCTCTTTCCTCATCTTCTTCTCAACCCCACATGCAGCTCATCATTTCGTTTTATTTTCTGTACCCCCGATCTCTCACTCCTTTTTTTGGCATTGTGTACTCTTTGTCTTATGACAGTGTTCTTCTATCTTTGTCATTTAAAGTACTGTCTTGTCTCGTTCTTGTCTCTGTTGGCAACCCCCTTTTTTCCCTATGTAGTTCCTTTTGTAGTAATTGCTCATTATTCTTAAGTATATCACTTGAGGTGTACCGTGTTCATACTTGTACAAGCATTGCATCTTAGTGGACCCCTCTGTTTCCAATATGTATTTCTACATTTGTTGTAAATTTTTATGATTAATTTGTAATGTTTTGGTGGAAACACAAATAAATTGAAATTGAAATTGACTGGACTATAAATTAGAACTCTCCTTACAGGGACCATTGGTATGACCAGCTGTCAACAATAATCTCTTGATACCTGAACTGGCAAAATACAAGGTGAATAATATACAGATTGTTGGGTTGTCATGACTTTCTGCATTTTGTTCTCCTTCTTCTCCGGTTTCTTTGGCTCTTTAGGAGTTTTTCTTCTATCATCTGTAGATTACCTGTTCCTTTTTCCATTTCATTTAACTAGATTACTAGATCTATAAAAGTAGTAGGTCTAGTTTTGCTTTTAAAAAAGGATTAAAATTAAAAGTTAATCAGGTTAAACAGTTAATCAGGTTAAACAGTTAAAAATTACAATGGCGAACGTGATGAACAATTTAATTAGTGGGATGAAAATAATCGTTGAGGGCGACAATGTCATTTATTGTTATTTGTTAACATGCATGGTCATCAATGATCAATCATCATGAAATTATTGCTTGATTTTCCGAAACATGACTGAATGAATGAAACATGATTGAATGAATGCAAAATTCACATCTGACTGAGCGGACTGCACTGCATCATGCAAACATGGTCAACGCGCCGTGATCACATAGGATTAGTGCACTGAGATTGACTGACACACAAGATCAAGACACTCCTGGGGTTTGACATGACTCGGTCTCAGATTCAGAGTCTGAAGTTATTTATTAGACTTCTTCTTCTTTGCTTGGCCTTGGCTTCCTCCAGTTTGGAAAACTGCAGCTTGGTGCAGAGTGCAGGTATTGTTTGTACACAAAATCATTTACATGCATGATGCAATTACAAGACTGCAACTGTGCGGTGCATCATTTTCATCATGATTTTGCATGTGCTACAATAAATTTTTTGAAAGGCAAAAGCCTAAACAAATGACTCACCAACAGGTTTGTGTCCTCTCATAGCATAGAAGAGACTGACTTCAAGCTCAGTGTTCCAGATAAGATCTTCACCGGTTACTTTCACGCTTTCTCCAGACATTTTTCCAATCGCCATCTCTAACTCGGTCTTTCTCTTCAGTTTTTCACTCGAACTATGTGCAGTCGAATCTAGTCAGCGAGGCTTTATACACGTACAGTATTGTCGCTCGCACAATACGGCATTCGCATGCGGCATAAATATGCATGATGCATGTTGACATGTGTTCGCCGTCGCGTCATCAAACAGCTGCCGTTCACTATGGTGGAGGTAAAGAGACTAGGTAAAAGACTAGTTGTGAAGTTTTTAAGTTGTATGAGAGGGGGGGGGGGGGGGGGGGGGGGTGAGGCCTGAGGGGTGAGGGGGTATACAGGGGTGTGCCGCTCTAATGGTAACGTTTTACAACAAATCCCTAGTGTTTGCCATGCATGCCATGCAAACACCCAAAATTTTGGAAAATGGGCTTTACTTCGAGAAAAATCCTCCAAAATGACCCTTAAAAATATGTAAGGGTTTTGAAGCTTCAGCGGCACACCCCAGTTATAACCAAATCTGAGTAGTCCCGCCCCCGGGTATGAGAATATTAATTCCCCTTTTCTCGTGCCATTACTTTTATATATTTTTTGTTTCATTGTATATTTGTTTGTTATAGGCCTACCATGTTGTATTTCCTTTGGCAAATGATGGACCTTCTACAATCTTAAAGCTTATCAACACTTGTGTGGCTAGGAGGGATTAGACCACACAACGAGGTCACTGACAGGTGGCTATTTCATCAACTCAGCTCTCAAATAACATAAGAAATAGAGGATCATGGGGCACCGATTGGGGAAGTTTTCTATATAGAGGGAGCAAGTAGCTACAACTAGGACAGTGGGGCTTTAAACCCAAGCATGCATGGTTCGTTACAAAAGCTCAAATTGAAATTAAAATGTTTAAATTTGGGTGGAGCTTTCCAATCTCATCCGCCTCCTGATGGTTAACTTTATAGTCGATAGGTCGGAGACAAATCATTAGAGTTTGCTACTGAGTTCCTATCTGACTCTATACTCAATAAGTTGAAAGTTTTCCTTACATCTGCTTATCGCAAAGACAGTCATGTTTCAATCAATACCAAAAAAAGAAAAAAGAAAGAAATATCATTGACATTTCGTCCTATTAGGAATAACAGCTCTCGTCTTCGAAGTGTTTCCAATTATCGAAAGGCCTCTTGGGAAGAAGTCAGAAAGAGTCTCGGCATTTATGAAGCTCATTTGAAGTTTTTGAAGGCTCTTCAGCAAGTATACTTTCAGAAGAGGAAACAATGTACTGGGTACTTCAGCAGTAGTAAATTTTCATCTTCATTTCTCCGGGGGTGAGGGCAAGGGGGACAATGCGTCAATTTTTCGGGTACCCCCAAAGCGCCTTTCTACATAAAATGTGCCCCTTTTTACTTCAGATAAGTACACCCTTTTCTTTCTAAAGAGTGCCTATTTTCCCTTCTCATAAACTGTGACACTTTATATAAAGTGCCCCTATTCAAATATGACAGGTGCCTTTTTTCTTTGTAATAAATGCCCCCTTTGCCCTACATTTTAGCAGTGGCGGATCCAGGATATGCTGATGGGGGGGGGGGATAAAATGTGAAAATCACGCCGTCCGATTTTGCGTTCAGTGGGGGGGGGGGGGAGATAGTGTGAGCACTAACTAAATATATATTTTTTTAAAGGCCAGCCCCCCCCCCCCCCCCTCGTGGATCTGCGGCTGCATTTTAGAGCCCACTTTCACCTGCGACGAGTGCCGTTTTTTCAGGTGCGAGAAGTGCCCTTTTTCTTTTTGTAAAAATAGTGACCCTTCGATTATCCACCTATCCAAATCTGAGGTGGAACATAATTATGCAATGCCCAAAATTTCATAAGAATTACGAACACTTGTGTCCCATTTATGTTTGTTTTCAGCACAATCATCAACAATGTCCCTTCTCTAATTATAGGTCATAGTATGAGAAGGGGGACAATGCGTCAATTTTTCGGGTACCCCCAAAGCGCCTTTCTACATAAAATGTGCCCCTTTTTACTTCAGATAAGTACACCCTTTTCTTTCTAAAGAGTGCCTATTTTCCCTTCTCATAAACTGTGACACTTTATATAAAGTGCCCCTATTCAAATATGACAGGTGCCTTTTTTTCTTTGTAATAAATGCCCCCTTTGCCCTACATTTTAGCAGTGGCGGATCCAGGATATGCTGATGGGGGGGGGGGATAAAATGTGAAAATCACGCCGTCCGATTTTGCGTTCAGTGGGGGGGGGGGGGGGGAGATAGTGTGAGCACTAACTAAATATATATTTTTTTAAAGGCCAGCCCCCCCCCCCCCCGTGGATCTGCGGCTGCATTCTAGAGCCCACTTTCACCTGCGACGAGTGCCGTTTTTTCAGGTGCGAGAAGTGCCCTTTTTCTTTTTGTAAAAATAGTGACCCTTCGATTATCCACCTATCCAAATCTGAGGTGGAACATAATTATGCAATGCCCAAAATTTTATAAGAATTACGAACACTTGTGTCCCATTTATGTTTTTTTTCAGCACAATCATCAACAATGTCCCTTCTCTAATTATAGGTCATAGTATGAGAAGTATGCCATTTTTACACTAATTGAACGTTTGCCCTTTAGTAAACTATACCATCTAGCCAATACCAATACTCAACTGACAACTTAGCATCCTTTAAGCCAGGCCTCCCAGAATGGTATGGCATAATTGCCCTTAGGACAATACAATAATTAGGAAATGAAGGAGTTTTCCAATTCAAGGCAACTTCAAATAAACATGACCAATTGCAATAATGTCAGTTGACATTATCACCACACGCGCTTATAAGGTGTTGTTTTATCATCCTTTATCAGGCCCGAAATAGTCATACCCATTAAATTTAAAGCTACTGAGAGGATTTCCACCCAAACTCACCCACTACCCTCGCTCGCATCATAGTTATCTAAACAAGAACAAACAAATTAAAACACACCCCCCCCCCCCACTTCGGGGTCGGAATGACCGCATGCGTGTTACCAAAATCGTCTGGTATAGGGGTACTTTCCGTGCGACAAAGTCCGGCCCGAGAATTGTAAAAAAAAAAGTGTGTATTTGACTTTTCACCCGGAGATTTCTTTAAAAAGGGGTGTTTTTCTTTTTTGCTCTCATCTCTTTGGACTCCTTAGAAATTATTCCGAATTTAGGGGGTCTCGATCCAAGGCAGGAAAAGCCCGCGAAAAGCCCGCGAAAGGGGGGTTCGGAAATGTTGGCAGTCCTCAGATAGGGGGTGCTTTCAAAAAGAGGGAACGAGCATACGCGTACCCTAAATAACACTGAGTGGGGGGGGGGGGCGGGGGAGGGTGGCGGGGAGAGGAGTAGGCCCGACACTGATTTTTGGAAGAAGAAACAAAAAGTACTAACTATCAACTCAATTCTATATTCATTTGCTTACATTTTTTTGTCATAAACTAACCTCTCTTTTCTTTTTTTTTCTCTTTCTGTCATCCCTCATCTTTATCTTGTCTCCCCCCCCCCCCTTTTCCCTTCTCTCTCTCTTTCAAATTTGATCTCTCTTTATAAAGGCCTTTCATCCCCTCTTCCACTTTTCACTCTATTTGTCTTGATTTTCTTTAAAATATATAGTAAACTTATCCTTCACATTAAATATATCAATTATCAATTTTAATATCTTTATATTGTTGTATTGATATTGATATACCATTTTATAATTTACATTTCGTGATATTTTTTCGTACTTCAACTTATTAGTGAATTTCAAAATCTACTCGTTTTAATGCATTTTTATATGATACAATGTGAGCCAAGTGTTATTAGGTATATTTTTAATAAAATCGAAATTGAATTGAATTGAATTAAATTTAAAAGTTTTGCAAATATGCGATGTACTTTAGTCTGAGAGGTTTCTTCTTATTTCTAAATGAAAGGTTAGGGAGCTCGGAGGGCCTAGGGGCTAAAAACTTATCCGGGTTTTTGACTAATGTATCGAAGTGATAATCGTCGTGACATGCCCTGCATATTCCTGCTGAGCTGTGTCAGCGGAGCACATGCGTATTGTAATGTCACTTCCGTGTAAATAAACACATGTGAACCCAGGATCAAGAGGCCAAACGCGAATGACAGTCTGCACCTTCTTTCACACCTCAGAATTGTGCGTTTTATAGCACACTTTACATTCATAATGAGCGACTGGGAGGAAGAAATCGAGAATGACATGCGAGGAATGTCCTTCTCATCGCAGCCTCAAAGTCAAAACACGAACCGTTGGAGCAATGATGATTATTCCAACTCGCAGTCGACCAGCAACTTTCGGCAGGACCGTTCCGCGCCATACGGCCAGGGCCGGGCGAGATCAAGCGTGGGCCGTGGCGGCGGCACTGGATACAACGGTCGCGATGACGATCGAAGCCGAGCCAGGACGACATCATCTGGCATTGGTCGGGGCCGTGGGATTGCGTTGGAAAGGAATAATGATCGTAGAAATGATGGCAATGATGAAGGAGAATGGAGAGGTGAAAGTAGAACTTGGAATTCAGGTCGGTATGACAGCAGACGATCGTCAAGTCCCAATTGGAGAAAGAATGAACGTGAGAATAACGAAGCAGGATCGCAAGATAAACAAGAAAGATGGTATGGAGAAACAGGAGGAGGAGGAGGAAGGAGAGGAGATGACGAGAGATCAAGAGATGATAAAGGATCTCTTTTAGTGGACAATCAGTATCTGGGCAGAATAATAGGTAAAGTTATTGTTGCAGGGAAAAAGGAAGATTGTGTAGGTCTACGGTTATGTAAAATTTGTAATTGATTCTGAATTTTGTTTGTTTAAAAATGTAAAACTCAATCAAAAGTCAGTTGCCAGTGTTCTTTTCAAAGTCAAGTTCAAACAAGATGCTGCGCTTAATTAAGATTTTATTAAAAATCAGGTTCAACATTATCATGATTATGAAAGGAATTTGGTGTGATTTGGATTGAGTATCCGATTGACAATATTATTTCAAGCAAAGACAAAACAAACAGATGACGAGATGTTTCATCAAAATCGGATGAAGTTATGGGAATGTGAAAGTTTGGCATAATTCCATCAAAGATGAAACGGTGATATGTATCACATACTGCATCCAGTAGCAAAAAGACTCCATTTGAGGGAATGTCTTGATTGAGTAGAGCTGAAAAGTGAGAAATGCATAATTTGTCAAATTGTGTCTCATTGATTTGCATGCATGTGTGTTTATAACCAAAGATTTCTTTTTCCAGGAAAACAAGGGGCAAAGATCAGGGAACTAGAACAAGAGAGTGGTGCCAGAATAAAGGTAAAGAGATGAAAAACAAATGTCTGTTCAGAGCCAGAAGGGTGTTAACTCTGTGTTAAATAATATGAGTTACCTAATGCCCTTCTGTCTCCAAACAGATTATTCATTTTCTGAAAATATTGCAGGAAATAGAATAGTTCACAAATAATTCTCTGTGTGTGTGTAATTCGGTTTTTACAGACGTATCAATCAGATATGATTATTTACGTCTGGGGACCGATCTTTAACGTCACCATCCAAAAGACGTGACTCGGTTTCGAACCTGAGTCCTCGTTTGTAACTTCCATTGTTAGCTGGATTACAGACGCACTCCACAACTCCCCTGTAAAAAGGTGCTATTAATTTAATGACTTATTAATACATAGGGAAAAGATGTTTTTCTTCTGTGAATTGAAAATAATTGGAAACGGAAGCTTAAAACAAATGGAAATGACATTGGCAGTACAGTACTTAGTTAAGTTCTATCATAAAATCATGTTGTTAATCCTACACTATGTGATTGTTGATACAGGCAAAAGGTTTACAGGATTAAACCAACATCATATATTGCATTTTTCTCTATGTGCTGGAAGAATTGTGAAATAATTCCAATGTGAGTCACAGGATTGCGCAATCCTCAAATGATTTTGCCTCGAGCCAGGGGCTTGTTTGGAAATACAGTCTTGGATTCATTCCAAATGTTGTCCCTTGAAGAGTGAATGTTGAACATGTGGCAAAAGTGTAACTAGTCTACAAGTCCAAACTCTAATTAGATTTAAATACTAACACAAAATTTCACATTTAAGGGTTGAGTTTAAGAAGATCAAAATTTTGTTTTCTTACTAGCACAATTGTATCAACCAATATTGTATTAACCAATATTAACTTTTCAAAAGGGGAAGAAAAAGGTAGGGGGAGGAGGAGCATTTGGGGTTCCTTCTGGTTAAGTACTTTGACCTTTATTTGAACTTTCCTTTCAGATCATGTCCCGAGAGTCTGATGGATACGAGACTACAATCAATCTAGAAGGAGGAGAAGAAGCACAAGCAAAGGCCAAGAAATTGATAGAAGAACTGACGGATCCAGACTTCAGAGGCAACACTAGAAAGCCACAGTCTTCAAGTTTCAGCTTCAATAGTAGAAATGGTAAGATATTTTTTGCAGCAGAGATTCTCCAAAAAGTAAACAAAACTTTGACTTATTTTAAATGGTGTTTTACATCTTAACTTTAAAAGGAGAACATTTTTTTAAAGAATTTTGATTAAAAAAAGAAAAAAAACAACAACAAAAAATAAGCCAAATAAAACAAAAACAGAAGGTTGTGCAAGTTTAAAAAGAAGTAAAAAAGTTTTAAAAGAATTCAATTTGGGCTTTATGTAAAGTTTCAGAGAGTCATAATCCTTGAAATATGATAATGTATGATAGATGACATGGACATATTTCATAATAATTAAAATTAAAATTACACAAATATAGTGCTACACAAACAACAGTTTGAAACTTAATGTATCATATCTGTTATTGATCTTCAAGATTATTTAATTAGTGTATTTAATAAAAAATTGCATGCTAGTGGTGTTTTCTTAGATTTAAGCAAGGCATTTGATACAATTGATTTTTCTATATTATTATCCAAACTTGCCTGTTATGGGATAAGAGGTTTACCACTCCTCTGGTTCAAAAGTTATTTACATAATAGAACTCAATGTGTATCATTTAATGGTGTTTTATCTGATTATTCGGAAATCTCATGTGGTGTGCCCCAGGGGTCAATCCTAGGGCCCCTTCTGTTTTTACTTTATATTAATGACCTTCCATATTGTTCTGATAAATTGAAATTCATTCTTTTTGCTGATGACACCAACATCCTCTACACCTCAAATGACATTGGATCTTTATATAGCACGTTAAATATTGAATTGCGGAAAGTATCGAATTGGTTTAAATGCAATAGATTAATCTTGAATGCTGGAAAGTCAAATTTTATATATTTTCATTCCAAATATAAACCGGTTTCTACAGAGCTCCTTAATTCATATCAAATAAAAATGGATGATAATGTTCTTAATCGTGTTGTTAATACCAAGTTCTTGGGTGTTTTTATTGACGAAAGCTTATCCTGGAAAACACATATATATATCCCATATTAATAAGATAATGTCCAGGAATACTGGTGTCATCAGCAAACTCCGCCATACTTATTACCGTTTCTTAGTTATTGCAACATTGTTTGGGCAAACACATACCCAACCAAACTGCATCGTTTATATATTCTACAAAAGAGGGTTGTAAGAAATATAATGCTATCTCATTATCAATCTCATTCAAGACCACTTTTTAAACAACTTAATATATTGAATGTATACGAGTTAAATGAATATTTGTGTGCTATACTTATATTTAAGAACGAAAAAAGTCTGCTTCCTGAAAACTTATCCGATATGTTTATAACAAACAGTACAATACATAACCATAATACTAGAAATAAGAAGAAATATCACCGATGGTGTGTTAATACAAATTTTGCATCATATTCTTGCAGACATCATGCACCTGAAATTTGGAACTTGCTTCCAACTAATATAACTTCAATCTCATTTTACAACAGTTTTAAACGTAATCTCAAAAGTTTCTTGATTGCGCATGACTCTCACTGAATGTATTTATCTAGCTTGTTACCCCTCTCTCTTTCTCTCTCTCTCTCTCTCTCTTTCTTTCTTCCCCTTTGCTATCTTCTGACTTTTTCATCCTACCATGTTGTATATCATGTACTGGGTTTGTGCCGGTTGTTATGCAATTTCTGAATGATACTATCCGAAACTTTACTTCCTACTTGTTTTCTTACTATGTTTATTATATCTAATTTGATAGGAAGCTGTCCAGACAAAACCTTTTTTTGGTTTTTTTACAGCTGTGCCTTATTCTGTTTTGTATTAATTCATTTCACATGTACTGTATATACTATCCCAATTTATGTATTATATTGTACATGAAACTGTATGTTTTTACTTTGTAAAAATGGTTTTAAAGATGGAATTCAATAAACTGAACTGAACTGATATGATAGTTTTCAAGAGGTACACGTAGGAGCCATTTAAGAATTCAAACCTCCATTTTTTTTTTAATATGATGCTCTTTAAAACCTTTTTACTGATTGACTCCTTTTTTAATCTCTTTTGTCCGTCTTCAGGAGCTGATAGCAATAGCCAAGATGATGCACCTCCAAAACCGTAAGTAAATGTACTTTGTTGTGGGGAAGTCAATGAATACACTTTACATACCATGGTGTAGAGCTGTAGCTTGTTTAGGGCCTGTTTCATAAAACTTGTCGTCGATGTCAATGACACTATTTTCTTCAGGGCTGCCCCCCTCCGAACTATGCTCGTCACCAAAGAGAATCCATCATTTCACAGGTGATTGTTTTTTGCATTTGCTTGTGCAGCCCCAAAACTCTGGAATAACTTACCATGTGAAGTCAGAAAATCGCCATCTGTGAATATCTTTAAATCAAAACTGAAAGCACATCTTTTCAATTAACTGTAAATCTAAGCAAATCAGGACCTCTTGTAGCACAGTAGAATATATACTTAATTTTAGATAGTTTCTGCGCTCTGTAAATGTATTGTTCTAATTATTATTTTATTAATTTCTCTACCAGGAGGGGGCCAATCGACTGGAAGAATCTACAGGCAGAGCAGGATATATATCTAGCACAAAAATGGAAAGGTATGGTGCTTCATTTGTTCACCAATGTATTCATACTTGATGCATACATCTGAAGACATGGCATATTTTTTTGTAAATGGTATTGCTGATAAGAACGTGCTCTCTTGTATGGCAAGAACAAGTGCCCAACCAGATGGATTCTCGCTATCCAACTTTTATTGCACAATATAGTATACATGACATGTGTAATGTACAGAATTCAAATAGTTAATCAATAATTATAGGAGGGGAGATATGAGGGGTACAGGGACTAAGTTCGCTCCTCTCTTATTAGGCACAGGTGATGCCAAATACAGTCAAACCTGCTTTAGTGACCACCTGTCTACAAAGACCACATGTTTTGTTTCCTTTGAAAATGGCTTTTCATTGAAACATGTATGAAAGTAGCCTGTCTACAAAGACCACTCTTGTGTTTCCCTTGGGTGGTTGCTTAGACAGGTTTGACTACACTTGCATTTAAAGATTTATACACATTCAACACCTACAAGTTTTTTTAATTGAAATCCAGTATCTTTTAACCTTCCCAATCATTGTTGTAATTTTCAATTGGCAGATTACCCTGAAGTCATCAAGGATTTCTACCATGAGCACAGCTCTATCAAGGCCTTATCAGAAGAGGAAACAGATGCTCTCAGGTAACATATTATTAATTTCAAAGTCATGAAAAGGCACTAAATATCAACAAAAAGGGTCTACAACAACTCCAAATGCCAAAATAATCTGAGCTATGCATGTTTTTTAGCATTTGATAGCCCAAAACTTGAAAATTTTTGGCATTACAAAAGGCTGTTATTGATCAAAGGTGCGAGGGTGTCACTCTGATCTTCCGATCTGATCAAAGCCCCAACTTACTTGCCTCAGACTTGGTAAAGCTAAAGAAATGGAAATCTTTTCCATGCAGGAGAGGCTACAGCTTTCAGAGCATGTGTTTTGTAATGCATTAATCTCACATCCATCTCAATAAATTAATATCAACACACAGTTAACAACTAAATTATTCATACCCCTTGTAAATATGTTTGTGCACAGGGCCCCGTCTGGAAAGTTGATATCAATTACAACTTATTTGCGATTGCAACTACATTTGTATGTACATAAGAGATAGTAGACTAGAAACTTGCGATTGATTGGAGGACTTGCGATTGATTCGGAGGACTTGCGATTGATTCGGATCAATCGTAACTCTTTGTAAGACGGGGGCCCTGGCTGTATTCATTTGATGTTAATAAGTCAATTCTATGAACGTATGTATTTGTTTGTAAAGCGCTGTGATACCAATACTATTACTGAAAGATGTACTGATAATTGCCAATCATATTATGATGTTAACATTGCAAAATTGAACAAAGGACATTAAACCTTCAACTGTATTACATGGGAGAGAACCTCTTCTAATATCTGTGCCTTGTTCCTATCTGATTAATACACAGGGAGGTGATTGGTGTGTCAGCTGTAGATGACAGTGCAAAGGAGCTCAATCGTATCATTCCAAAACCAGTCAGAACATTTGAAGAAGCATTTGAGGATTATCGTGAGTTAAAACAATTATATATAGCCTGTATATTATGGGTCATGTCAGGGGTACTATTTTTTTATCCGCAGAATTTAAACACAGAGATGTCTACTGTCTTTCTAATAATCCTTCATGGTCTCTTTGGTGGTGAAAGTAGTCTACCGTAAAACATCAATCCAAGCCAAACACTATTTTATGACAATTAATGTTAGCATAGATGGGATATACTGGTGCTAGTGGGTAATTGGATGTGGATGGTGATGTGATAATCACTGAAAGGATTAATGCAGGGACATAGGTAGCCCATTTTGGATAGGAGAGGGGGGGGGGGGTGGAGGCAGACCAAATTTTATGACAAAGGGTAGTCAGATTTTCAAGCTTACTATTAAGGAAAAAGATGAATGTCAGATTTTGATTCAAAGTGATGTTGGTCTGACAGAGATTCTTTTCACCATTTTCGGTTTAGGCATTGCTATTATTTTGTAAGAGGGTGTGTAAAGTTAACGAATTGTGTTTCTTTGTCTATATCACATGTAATTTTGTGTCAATAATTTTCTCTGTAGCTGAAATCTTGAGGGAGATTTACAAGCAGAAATTCACCAAACCATCGCCTATACAGGTAAGATATTCCTGTCTTTGAAATGTAGCATGTGGTGTGTAATTACATGCAGTAGACCGGTTTGAAGATGTAGAAGAATTCACCTATGAATTTAGATGTATTTTTATTTGATGAAAGGTTGCCCTAATCTTGTTCTCCATAGCTACATATGGAGTGTGCATTCTACACTGTAAATGATATCCCGTCAAACATACTAGGCATGCGGGCATGAAATGATATTTGTTGTTATGTTGGCTTCTCATACAGTACTGACATCTACTGTGCATTGTGCTCAGTTGCTATCTGCAGGCTAACAATTCTGTGCTCACAGGATTAAAGGAAACCCCTCTTCCATAGAGGTCCCTCTTCCCAGGAAAGCATTCAGCACACCAGGGTGGAGAGTGTCAAATATAGATTATCCTGTCAAAGAAACATTTACAAATCAACTCTCTACACTCTTGACCCCCATTTACTACACCCTACACCCTGGCGGAAAGTGGCAAATGTAGATAAATATTTTGAAAAAGGACATTTAGTGACCATGACACCTCTTTATGTTATTATAATATGTGCTTTGTATCCTCGGTGAAAAATGGCTCTTTAATTGCAAATATTATTGTCATCTTTTTGTGAGTGTTTTTGTGTGGGTGTTTTGCTCATCTTGCTTTGAGAGGGAAAATTGTGGGAAGGAGTAGGGGAAGAAGGAGGATACTTTGGATGGACAGAATAGAAATTGTTGGAAGAGAGAGGAGTGAAAGAACTGGGAGTGGTGCTAATAGAGTAGGCTAGGAGCCGAGGGTTGTGGAACAGCATGATCGCCAAAGTCAATCGATATGGCACTTAGACAGAGAGAGATTTTTGCTCATTGTTACATCATTTTCTTTTGTTCTAGAGTCAAGGTTGGCCCGTGGCGCTCAAAGGTCATGACCTGATAGGCATAGCACAGACTGGGAGTGGGAAGACACTAGCATTCCTCTTACCAGCTCTTATACACACAGACTTACAGCCAGGGTAAGTCAGACCTGATAATTACCAGATTTGAATTGGTTTCCCGATTTTGTTTTTCTTATTTCCCCCCCCCCCAATTTTCTTACTAAAAAGGAGGGAATGTTGTTAGATGCAATTTTTCCACTTAATCCTTTGTTTGTTTTTATTTTTTTACTCAAAGGGGGTGGTTGAGGACCAAAACAACCTTTTTTTTTTAGTGCTCACTATTATCCCTGGTATACCTATCCTCTACCAGGGCCGCCTTTTAAAGAGTTGGGAATTTTCCAAATAGATGTCAAAAGAAAGGAAATTCGCAGGTAATTCTTCAACCTTCACTTTAATAGTAAAACAAGATAAGAGGAAACTTATATAAAACTACTTTGTTTCAATTTTTGCAGGGCTCGTAAGTCTCGTGGTGGACCTAACGTTCTTGTGCTCTCACCAACCCGTGAACTTGCCCTTCAGATAGAATCAGAGGTCAACAAGTATTCCTACAAGGGTATCAAAAGGTGAGTGTGACCTTTGACACTTGACCTTTCATACTGTGACCTTTGACACTTGACCTTTCATACTGTGAAATCAATGCTCCTACAAGACATGAAAAATGTCAACAAGTATTCCTGTTAGGGTATCATAATGATAATAATGAAAATAATAAGGACTATTTACAAAGTGCCATATCCATTTCGCAGAAACGATCAAGGCACTGAGAGTATCTATCAGGGATGCCATTTTTCAGGGAATATCCTGAATTCAGGCCCTGGCAAGTTATTTTCAGACCGTAGTTAAGGCTCTTTTCTGTACAAAATAGCTCATTCTAGGTGATTTTCAGGCCCTCTGATTAATTCTAACTAGCATCCCTGATATATGAAAAATCAAAAAGTAAACTATAATTAGATGTAAATTGCAATACAGAGCACATGAACAATACAATTATGAGTGCATTAAAGGAGTAGGTTGACACAAACATACCCTAGGAATATATACATGAATGACAAGATGAAATGTGGAAATATTGAATTAATCACAAAGTTTTAAAAATATATTTATTTAAATCCCAACATAAAGGAATATTCCCAATTTTCAGCTTATAAAGAATGACAAAAATATATATATACAGTAGGCTTGCGGGAGCACCATGTGTGAGAGAGAGAGAGAGGATTGAGGAGTCCTGAAAAGGACTCTCTGTAATCTTTCTTGAGGATGTGTAGTCCTGAAAAAGACTGTTGGTTATCTTTCTTAGCTTATAGTTCTAACAAATATATAAGTTCAATTAAGTTGTAAGAAACTTTGAGTGGCACGGGGACAGCTGGGGTACATGTTTTAATTACTTTTCTTTGCAGTATTTAATGCGTCTGAAACTTATATACACTATTGATATCACCCCAAGAATTGAACCAGAATTGGCATTTACTATGTGCCATGTACAAATGCATAGTTGTTAACAATTGCCCTGCAACACTAATTTTTGTTCTTTCTTTCTTTCTTTCTCTCTCAATATTCACCTAGTGTGTGCGTCTATGGAGGTGGCGATAGGAGGAAACAAATCAAGGTAGTGTCTGACGGAGTGGAGATCATTATCGGTAAGAACCATAGCTAGTTTCCAAAGATAGTTGTGTCACTGGAAGTTGTTTCTGATTGGTCAGTTATTTGATGGAGCCTCATATATATTCCCTTTGTGACTTTGAACCATTTGCCATTTTCAATTGCAATCATGTTTAATTTCTAAATGTTAGGTATTAAACTACATGTGCATGCATATAATAGATTTTAAATGGGATATTTAGTAGAATCGTTAGTTTTAGAGTCACAATGGTGATAGATAACGGGAAGGTTTCAGGGTATACATTTATGTTTCAGTTTACAAATGATCATGTTTGATATACATGTAGTGTCTCTGTGTACACGTCTCACATTGCGCGATGGCTAAGTGGTAGAGCAGTGGTCTTGTAACCGGCAGGTCCCTGATTCAAAACCAAGTTGTTTCTAAACGACTGAATAAAATTTTCTGTTGGTTAATGAATGCATGTTGAATTTGAAGTTTATTTGATTTTTTCTTCTTCTAAGGAATGAAATTGACAAAGAAAGTATACCACAAAAAAATCTATTCTATACTTATATTTTATTGTTTGTATTGTAGCTACACCAGGCAGGCTCAATGATCTCATCATGAACAAGATTGTGAATGTCATGTCAGTTACATTTTTGGTAAGTAAACTAAAGGCTTTGCATAGCTAGTGCAATTTATTTGTACAACTATCCAGTGGCTACCCCATACCAGTGGATAAGGGTTACGTGCACATGGGGTTAATGTCCTATTTTGTGTTGTCTCAGTATTTTGTTCAGGTCAATGTTATTTTTCTGGGTTGTTGTCAAGGGGTTTGGAAGTTTAACCCCCCAAAAAGAAGTCAAGTATGATCCTGATTGGAAGTCTGGATTTATTTGCACTTTCAAAATGCTTGAAATGATTTTTATTGGGATAGTGCAGAAATTAAAAAAATAAAGGAAGGAATAATAATCAGATGATATGGTCAATATTGAGCTTGTTGTATATTGTTTTTCTCTAATTAACTTTTCTTTTTACTCTATTCCAAAATAGTCAAAAATTCAAAGCTGTAAAGAAGTGTAGAAACTAAAGTTTAAATAAGCCAAAATCGTACACAGACATATATTTTGTGCTTTGCATATGCAGTTAAAACCTGCTTTAGTGACCACCTGTCTACAAAGGCCACATTTGTTGTTTCCCTTGAAAATGGTTTGGAACCTGTCTACAAAGACCATCTGTCTATACAAAGGCCACTTTTCATGTTTCGCTTGGATGGTCGCTATAGACAGGTTTGATTGTACTTACATTCTACATTTGAAGTGTAGCTCATAAAGTTGTTTATGTTATCTTCCAAACGCTCTCTGTAGGTGCTAGACGAAGCTGATCGGATGCTTGACATGGGCTTTGAACCTCAGATCATGAAGATTCTACTGGACGTGAGACCTGACAGACAAACCATCATGACAAGGTCAGTGTTAGCTTTTAAAAACTTGACTACTGTCTGAGATTTCAATGGAAATGCAAACAATTTGGAGGGTTTTATTTCCTTCAATCTTGTAATTAAAAAAAATGTATTGTTGGGTCAGAAATTGGGCACCACATGAAAAGGAGCTAGCGATTCCTTTTTTAATTATCACAAAACACGAAATCTGTTAACAATATTATTATCCCTGTCATCCATAAAATTTCTTTTTCGCAATAATATTGGTAGATTTGCCATCACTTTTATTAAGACATATACAATGTGCACAACTGCACATGAAGAAAAGAAATGTCAGAATGTGGACGTCAGTAGTTAATGACATTGAGATCATTTGCAATAACTCAACTCTGTATACAATGTAAGAAGCATGGTGTTGCGCCTCTTTTCCAGATTAATAGAAAAAAAATGATGACCATAATCACCTCATAGAGTGAAACCTTTCTTTGAGATACACTGACAAAGCGAAACAAAATCCATGGTTTCCATAGACGGGTGGTCGCTGACGCAGGTTTCTCTGTACTAACATGGTTTATTCTTATCTTACAGTGCTACATGGCCAGAGGGAGTGAGGCGTCTGGCTAAGAACTACATGAAGAACCCGATCCATGTCAATGTAGGATCATTGGATCTATCTGTAAGTTCTTGACGCACTTCTGTGTCCATTTTATGTGGATTGGAGTACAGTGAGAAAGAGAGAGAGAGAGAGAGAGAGGGAGATAGGGAGGAGAGAGAGAGCAAGAGAGAGACAGAGAATGAGAGGCAGGAGAGCTTTAGGGAAAGAGAGGGAGAGAGAATGGAATCGATAGAAGGAAGATTTCGAGAATACTTTTTGCTTTAGATAGTACAAAGAATTTTTATGATAATGAGGAAGCTGTGTTATATGCAGGATATAACGTAGCGGGCAATATATTGTAAAACATCTTTTATCTTGGCTTGCTTTATTTGTCGTGGCATGAGCAAATTAATTAGGTAGTTAACAACAAGTACAAGCACAATCTCTGTATTAAGAACGATCAATATTATGTACATGGCCATAGTTCAAAGTTTACCGGTACTGTTTTTTGTTTTGTATCTGTTTTTTTATTTGTGATATTTATTTTGTACCTTGGTTTCATTCAGTGTCAAAATAGGCTTTTATACAATGATTACAATTTTATTTTTTGTTTAATTTTAGGCTTGCCACAATGTAACTCAACTCGTTGAAATCGTAGACGAAGAGGAAAAGAGAGACAGGGTATGTATGAAACAGTTTTCACTCCTATGTATTTAATGAATGATGATATTTAAAATTTTTAATCTATATGTCAGTAATCCACAAATTTGCCCATTTTCCTTTCCTTAGTATCCTATCATTGATCAATCACAAACAAGATGACACATATTTGAATATATGTTGTGGTAAACTGCCTCAGTTGACCATGGCATTTTGTGTGTGTGTGTTTGTTTTATAAATGAATTGCAGGTGGAATACAAAATGGACAAAGAAAGTGAGAATGCAAATCTGAACAAGCCGTAAAGTTTATTATGTTGTTTGTAACCATTTCATTAAAGGAATGCACTATGGATTGTGAAAGGACTTAAGTTAGTTCAGCTAATTAAAGTTAACAACAAAATTATTTATACCCTTATCAATTTTTCTAAATCTTTGAAGTTGTTAAAATTTGATTTATCCTGATTTACATTTCTTAAAAATGTGACACACTATAGCTTACATCTAAAAGTATTCACCTAAGGCCCTAATTCACCCAATCCACCTTTCATTCTTGAGTTACGAAAAGCACGAGAACATCAAATTTACAATGGGTATGAATAATTCAGTTCTTAACTGTTCATGCACATTTGCTCACCCCTCAAGGCCATGCAATGTTTTATAAATGTTGTTTTCATCCTGTTTTTCTTCCAGCTCATTGCGTTCTTTGAGACGATGACAGAAGATGAGAAAGTACTAGTCTTTGTTGGAAGGAAAGTCATGTGAGTAAAGCTATCCCTGGATGAGTTGATAGTGATTAAAGGCATCGTTTAACAATGTTAAATCCGAGATGCATGGCCCTACATGTTATCAGTCTCTGTGGTATGGTGTAATATTGAAGCCCTAAACAAATTGCGCTTCAAAATGAACAAGAAGTGCCTCAAAAAAGTAAAAATCTTGGAGTGACCGGTTTTACCATACTCGTTTTTCCCAATAGACTGTAGTGTTATGAAAATCGTTTGGGAAACGCAAAATCTGATTTTGATTTTCAATCATAAATATCTTGATAATCAGACAGGCGATTGGCTTGTAAAATTCATGGGGTTCTTGACTGACCTAAAGGTTTATAATTATCATTGCAGCATGAGCTAAATCAAGGATTTTTTTAAAGGATCTAAGACAAAGTTACCAGATCCCTTTAAAGCTTAGGTGGTAAGATGAAATATACTCATTAGGAATTCATGCAAGGAAAATTCTACAATGTCTTCTCACTTTTTTGTCAGTGACAGAAGAAAATTGAGAGCAGCAGGAAAAAAAAAATTATTATGGGATGTATTTTTGGAATTTTTGTTGTTGACAGGTGAAAGGAATAGTATGGAAATACATGCATTAAACTGTCAACTTAGTGTTTGATAGGCTGTGCTACAGGTTGAATTCTCGCTACCCCAAATAGCGATTCTGCCGAGATCCGGGGAAAATCCTGAAAACGCGCATTGCATTATGGGATAGCTTTTCGACATTACAGCTTCCTGTGCCGTCCTCCACAACAACAAAGCGTCGCTTTCGCTCGGAAAGTTCGTGATCACAACCCTCTCTTTCATGGTAGAGTTTAACGGCCTTTTGTGCTAAAGTCACTAATTCTGCCCGAAGCTTTCCATTGCATGGTATTCCTCTGTCCGTTAAGATTTTTTAAAGTTCCGAAACTGTTTTTTTATCCATTTTGTGGTCGACGAGAAATACATGAACTGAGTGTTGTCTCTACACTGTTTACTGTATCGTCTGCTCGTGATTGTGACGCTGGTCGCTACATGCACAATTTTAAGACAATTATTTTTTTTTTACTTTTAGATTAACAGAAAAAAAACATGAATAAAAATAAAATCTTTCCTGTAAACTATTTTTTGCTTTTTATTGTATATTCAAATTGAATAAAAACAAACTAAATTTAATGCATATATTATAATCTGTACAAATTACACTGATTGGCATCGATTTTAGCGTGCGTGAAAACTCTGCACAGCGAACACAGGCGCTAGCGCCAGCGGGATGGGACTCTATACCGGAAGTTGTAGTGACGACCCGAGAGAGTGAAAATTACCTCGTCTCGCGAATTTCGAGATTTTCGTACCTATTTAGGGTAGCGAGAATTGTAACATGCATTAGATTTGGATCGCCTTTGATCATAAGCTGCATACATTGGAATGCAAATCTGGGGAATCAAAACAGGACTCCATGTACTAGTAAGCAATGTTGATTTAGAACTAAAGCTAATTGGTAAGTGTATTAAGAGAATTTAAAAAAAGGAGCTTAAAGTTGATGACCTTTGACCTTTTGCAGGGCGGATGACCTGTCATGTGACATGAGCATGAGGAACCTGTCTGTACAGAGCATCCATGGAGGGAGAGAACAGTACGACAGAGAACGAGCGCTGGAGGATTTCAAAGATGGTGAGATACATAGAGGTGATGGTGGTGGTGGTGGTGGTGATGGTGGTAGTGGAGGTGGTGTTGGATGTAGTGGTGGTGGGGGTGGTGTTGGAAGTGGTGGTGGTGGTGGATGTGGTGGTGGTGGTGGTGGTGATGGTGATTATGATACAGCTGATGGTGATGATGATGATAGTAATAATAATAATATAGTTTTGGAGGCGAAATGGGAACCTAATCACTGTAACCGTTGGGTCGCGCCCCCTGGTATAACTGGTTGGTGGTGTGCAGGTGGACCACTACACCAGGGTTACCCCCTACTCTTATACAAATGGTACAGTGGGAACCTAATCACTGTAACCGTTGGGTCGCGCCCCCTGGTATAACTGGTTGGTGGTGTGCAGGTGGACCACTACACCGGGGTTACCCCCTACTCTTATACAAATGGTACAGTGGGTTCTTAAAATGCAAAGGTGGTGACTCTTCTGTACACTGGGCTTCCATTGAACGTCCTTCCAGAGGGACAGAGTGTTTTCCACTGTGACATAGCCTGTGCCTATAAAATGGGAGAGGCACGCACACAGTGCATGCTTCAGTCATCCATTTGAACCCACAACCTTTGGTCCGACAGACAGACGCTTTACCGACTAAGCCAACTGGCCCCCTCAATGAGCCATTTCACCTCTATATTCACGTTGTCATGCTGTTTTTTTTTTTTCTTTTCCCTTTTTTAGGCTCTGTACGTATCTTGATTGCAACTGATGTGGCCTCTAGAGGATTGGATATCAAGGATATCACACACGTCTTTAACTTTGACTGTCCTAATCATATAGAGGAGTATGTCCACAGAGTGGGTAGGACTGGAAGAGCTGGGTAAGTTAGAGGATTCGCCTTTTCAACTGGACAGCACTATTGTTAATAATCTACATCTGCATATTATGCAATTAGATGGATTTGAAAATCCCATTTAGCTCTTCATATTCAAGTCATTCGTAAAGTCTTGCATAACTTTACGCACAGCTTTATGAAACATCCCCCGGGTGCCATAGAATAAGGATCATAATGAAATAATACAATATCATTATTCTTTATAATTGATTAAATCCAAGCTGTACAATTGTTGGTTTGATATATGTGATCACAAAGAAGACCAGTATACCAATATATAATTAATAACATAAGGGATCAAATTCCTCGGATTTGCAGACAAGCATGAAACCTTTAGGTAAAGAGGGAAGCGGCATGTCTAAAATTGTGACAGATATCTTTAGGTTGTATCTGCCCCCCCCCCCCCCCTCAGACTGGTGTAATCGTAATGACCGCTGTGCATGTAGAACTGTCTGTGATATCTTTATGTTGTATGTTTCCCTGCAGGCGTACCGGTACCTCTCTAACCTTGATGACGAAGAAGGATTGGCGTTGGGCTGGTGACATCATTAAGATCATGGAAGAAGCAGGCCAGGTACAGATTAGACATCATTCAATCAATTATAAACAACAGACGCCTTAATCTCTACCATTTTGTCTCAGACCCTGGTTAGGCTTTGATTGCCTTTATGTATGAATTATTATGGTTTTGTTTGCATATATCTAAAATATCATTTTTTGGAAACCTTACCCAATCATAATACCAGCACTATCTCAGATGCAGCATGTAATTTGAAGTATTATTTTCTGTTTGATTTGAGTGTACATGTCTGTCTGTTTATTCAACAACAACAGCATTAAGATTTAACAGTACAAAAAAACAAGAGAAAATACAATGTCAATACAGAGCATAACTATAATGTCAGAAGTAGTACAGATATAGCAAACACATTATAGCACAGAGACTGTTTTATATACGTAATTTTTTTAAGTGAAGTAAAGAATGAGCGCCTTTTTTTTTCTTTGCAGGAAGTACCGTATGAGCTGATTGAGATGGCAGAGAGGTGGAAGAGACATCAAGCTAGGATGGCAGATGGCGACAGGAGAGGAGGAGGAAGAGGTGGAGGACGAGGAAGAGGAGGAGGAGGAGGCGGGTTCAGAGGGGGGCGTGACAGGGACTCCGGAGGGGGAGGCTTTGGGTTCAGTAGTGGTGGTGGTGGTGGTGGTGGTGGGTTTGGCTTTGGAGGTAGGAGTGGAGGAGGGGGGAGGAGGGGTGGGGAGAGAGATGAGTGGTGGTAAGATATAGAGAGGAGGGAGAAGAGAGAAAGGAGGAAAATAGGAAGGTTAGAGAAAGAAGGATGAAGAGGTAAAGAGAAAGAATACTGGATATAAAGAATGCAGGCATCAAAGATTAAAGGGCCATCCAACCTTTATAATAAGCTCATGTGTAGGTATTTTCCTTTAATATATAAAGATAAAAGATATTGAAAAGGAGATGTCTGAATGTTGGAGAGGAGAAGGAAATAGGAAGAAAGAAAAGGGGAGGTAGAAAGATAAGCGGAAGGAGGAAAGGAGGAATGGAGAGAGAGTGGGGGAGAGACAGACAGAGACTGAGACAGACAGATCTAGCTTTACAATATTGACGATTTTGGAAGAAATATGAAAGGTTCGGAAAAGAGTAAAGGGAAATGTCAAAAAATGGTGCATATGTGGATAAGTTTGTTAACCCTTACTGTACTGGGCTATTTCGAGCACTCTCTGACTGGGGGGGGGGCCTCGGAGGCCCCCCCCTATGATCTCGGCCGTTGAATGTCCGATGAACGCGAAAATTTGCATGATTGTAGATATTTACGTAAGGAACAAGATGGTATAATTAGTTTTTTCCTAATATGCAAATTTTTGTCGTTATAGCCTAATTAATTATGCAAAATGCTAATTGTATGCATTTTACAGAAAACTCTACATATTTGTCCGTAGACTTGTGAAGAATCTTGAAAATGTATTGAATAAATGTTTCCTTCATCTCAAATTCATGAGGTTTCATTATTTTTATGATATTTGAAAATGCATAGGTTAATTTGCATAAATTATGAATACGCAAATTACGCATTCATGAATATCTAATCTGGTAATATACAGGGAACTAGAATCATTACAAAAATTGTCAGACTCCACTTTTGTTATGTTGAAACTCATTATTCATATGAAACTTCTTTTCTAACACAAAAAATAGTTATTTGATGTAATTAATAATGATAATTTATGCAAATTTGATGCGATTTTCAACTTTTTATTTTCTTATGTATTTCATTGTTTTTTATTTGTTATTATATCTATTGTTTTATTTCTAATGTATTCTTTTGTTCTGAAATACATCAAGTTACTTTGAGAAACATATAAAAGCAATTTGATATCAATTCATATCTTCACATTTCTGCTTGTACATGAATATATGCAATTATAGCACTTTTTTGATGACATGCGCATACTAATTGTTATGTAACACCTTACAGGTATATCCGATTTCGACGAAAATGGTATCAAAATGTGCGTAAGACTTGAAGGAAAAAAGTCATGAAACGACAATTCAAAATTCCGAGCGGTTGCGGCGCGATCTCCAAAAATGTCGAGGGGGGGGCCTCCCAGGCCCCCCCCCAGTACAGTAAGGGTTAAGGATATGACTGAGAAAACAACAAATTGATGAGTAAAAAAATGTTAATTGGTGGAAAAGCACTAAGAAAGATAAATTGTACTGGACAAGTGATCAACAGTGCGTTAAATCTTGATTTCACTTGAAATCACTGAGGAGTGCCACATTGTGTGGAGTATCAGGTTTCATACATGTGTGTGCCAAAAGTAGAGTATGGCACTCCACTTGTTGTTCATTTGTTTACAAAAGAGGGCAAAAGGTTGAGCAAGAAAAGGAAGGAGAATGTGGAAATGATGTTGATCAAATGGCAGTTAATAAAGGAAGATGATAGAAACACAATAACCAAAGAGGTAGGGAAAATAAAAAGTATGAACATATATTTCAGTGTGTGCAATCTTTGTTGCAGGGATCAGTGAGAAGCATAAACTGGAATTTAAAAAAAAGTTGTTTAAGTATTTAATTTTTATAAAGTTATTTTACTTTTTCAAAGCTTCCGCATCTTCATTTTGTATGTATTGTACACAGCTTTTTTGTTAACCTTTATCTCATGCAATTTCATTTCTTTAAATCAAATAAATGTTTTTAAAAGAAAAATAATAACATATGTTCATGGGCACAGTATCACTTGGTGCTTCAACACTTTTTGAGGGCTCCATATTTGTGCTCACAGAACAGTCCTTTTGAGCTTCTAATAATCAGAGATATAAAATATTCTATTTGTTCCAAAGATTGAAATTAGTGGAGTATGTACATTGTATCTGTCACTTAAAGGATATTAGAGGGTCAAGTAAAGTTCCAAATTGTTGGAAACCCAATTCAAAGAGGAAAAATATAGTTAGTATCGCTTGAGTGCAGTACATTTCTTGCCATGGATTTTGGATATATACTGTGTATTGTAGGAAACGGATTATATATTTTTTAATTGTTTTATTTCATATCTAACACATTTTGAGTTGTATTTTTATGTCACGGGTATGTTCTTTTCATCTTGAAGCTGTAAAAGCTGAGAGGGTATGGCACGCTCAAGGCTCATTCAGATATGACACGGTAAACCAACACGATAACAAAACTCTCACTTCAAAGGGGGTGTAGCATGACAAGACTACATCTGTTTCCTGGGGCCAATTGGGTATAACACAACTATGAACGACGCGACCGCAGTATTCATGTGCGTGCAACATACGCAAAACTGAAGCGTGAGCAGAACTTCGGTCTGTTTCGCGAATGCTAGCGCTCTCTGACCATTAATCAAGTCCATTCGTTTACGTACAGTTGTCCAAAATAAGTTGTAGATGGTGTTAACCAGTATTTGCCATGCTACACCCCCTTTAAAAAATTGTACAATGAATGACATCTGAATGCAACAAATGACCTACGTGTATTCACTTAGCCCCGTATTATGATATACAGAAATTGGAAGCATATTACGCTTTCCTACTGTTTACTGCGACTCATCTGAACAAGACTTTATCGCTGGTGAAGACTTTATTTCACACAACTGCTAATAAAGAAGGTATATGTACTGGGGTATTGTAAAATGATGTTTATCCAATGCACCTATGGCAATTCCTGTCCGAGGGACTTCATGATCGAGGAAGAATGACTATGTCATGACCAATCGGGTTTGTGAGTAAATGTTTTAGTTGGATGAAACAACGTACCTATGACTCTTTCTTTATGGGTTGTATTGTCAATTTGAAATTTAGCAGAGAAAAAAAGGGGGAGAAAAATGCATTTACATGTTTTACAAGACTTGTATCTAAAGCACCATAATAAATAATGTGTGCTGCAATCATACAGTACCACTGGCCAAATAGTATGTCATCGTAATGCTAAGAAGCTCTGCCTGACCTTGCGTTGATCAGAAATATCATTACACAAAACGCTGAAGTATATTGTACATGTGTATGTGCCTAGAATGAGCAGATCAGTGTGGAGGTGTTGTGGTCTAGTGGATGAGTCTCCGGACGATGAGCCACAAGATACAGGATTCAAATCCAGCCGCGGCAATATTGTCCTTTGGGAAGACTTTAATGTGCATTTGCCACACTCGACCCAGGTGTAGTAAGTGGATACCTGGTAGGATATATATATATTCCTTGAATACACTGAGCGCTACAGTTGCCAGAGATGAAGCCGGCGTAATAAATAATATTCAAAGCTCTGTGGAAGCCTGTGGAGACGTTATATCATAATGTGAAATGCGCTACACAAGAACGGCATATTATAATTATGATTATTAGTAACTATAACTTAAAATTGGTACATTCTATTTGAAAGTACAGATACGTGGCCTTCACTTATTATCTCCATCCATTATTTGATATGTTTTAAAACTGAATGTGTGTTGAACTGTATTTACCTGTCACATTGAGTAGATGAGGTGTACTATATGGAATAATATCTGTTGATATTTGCTAATTTCATTACCGGCTATTGTTCATAACTCTCTATGTGCCAAAGATTAAATGTTAAGGACCAAGTAGTAGCATTTATGCATGGTATTTAGGTAACAGTTATATCATAAGAAGTTATTATTGGTATACATGACACATATTGAGTAGATGAGGTGTACTAAATGGAATAATATCTGTTGATATTTGTTTATTTCATTACCAGTAATTGTTTCATAACTCTCTATATGCCAAAGATGAAATGTTAAGGACCAAGTAGTAGCATTTATGCATGGTTTTTTAGGTAACAGTTATATTATAAGAAGTTATTATTGGTATACATGACACATATTGAGTAGATGAGGTGTACTAAATGGAATAATATCTGTTGATATTTGTTTATTTCATTACCGGTAATCGATTCATAAATCTCTTTGTGCCAAAGATGGAATGTTAAGGACCAAGTAGTAGCACTTGTGCATGGTATTTAGGTAACAGTTATATTATAGGAAGTTATTATTGGTGTACATGACACAAAACTTCCTTGCAGAGAATGTTCAACAGGAACATCAAATCTAGTTTGTTGTATGTAAAACCATTTCTGTGCCTTTGATTGTTTAACATTTAGGTGATAAAACCATTACGAATGCATTCCATTAGTACATACTGTGTGCTCTTTAGCAAAATGTTGATTGACAAGTGCAAACGTCCGTTCAAGTAATATTGTTCTTGCTAACAATTTTGAAAAATGAAACTCGTTGGGAAGTTTCAGTACCCTAGCTAGCGTATATTCCATTGAAATCATGTTCAGATTACTTGATGCATCATTGTAATGTATGTACGTTTCAACAGGTAATGGCCGGGCTACTGATATAACCATAGGTTGACTTTTTGAAATCTTTGAGATCTTGTGTAATGTAGTTACCTGAATCTCTTTTGGCTAAAAGGGAGATATACTTGGGTTAATGGAGAAAAGAAAAGAATTTATAACATTACTTTCACGTTTTAGAGAATTTTAAAAAGTTTTTTCTACATTGCTAAGCGTTGTATTGATTTCTATTTACCCCCCCCCCCCCTCCCCTCTTTTGTTACAATGCCGGATCTGCATTTGATTGAGGTTATTTGTAAAACTTAAAGTTGTAAATGAGAATAGAAATCGTAAAAAACATTGTAAATGCTGTGTTCTTGTGGAAAATTTGGGCCATCTCTAGAGACCTTTCTTTGAAATACATTAGTCCAACTTAACGGGTATAGATTTTAGAAGGTCATATGAGTGGAATGTGTGTTTTTGCCAAGTATACTTTTGTTAAAAATTATAGAAATACCTGAATAAGGATTTACAAGTGTATTTTCAGCTCAAGCATATTTGATAAGGCTGTTATATTTAGAGGCTGAAGCTGATATTGAGTTCAAAATGTGATATAATGTAATCTTGGGACCTTTTCCTTACAACTCTATTGAATTTTTCACAGTCATACGTTGGGATGGATAGATTTAAACAAGTAGTTGGTAACAGGTAGCTATATTGTTATGCAAGTATTTTGTAAGATCCATGTAAAGCACATTTTATTTGTTTATGAATAGCATAATTTTGCAGAAATAAATTTATTATAAAGAATGTTCATACAAATTTTCTTTATATTAAATATGACAAATATAATTTTTGCATTATCCAGTTGAGAAAGAAGAAATGCCTTGTGGTATTTGATTGTTACAATGGAGCTTCCAAGCAGAATGATGCTGCATTAAAAAAAAAAGATGATTTTCGTTTTGTGAGAGTCTTCTTTTGGATTTTGATACAAATAATGCATAGCTGTCTCAACATCCGTCCATGCTATGGCCTAGTACATGTTTATGTATTTTTTTAAATGTCAATTGACAGTATTCAAATGTTAGTTTGTTATTTTTTTAAAGTTAGAATTTGTAATAAAATATTATATTGCAGATCAGAAAACCTTTCTTGTCATGAATTATTAGTGGTATGTTTGAAATCACATATGTATTTGTATTTTTACTGGAACTGTTCGGTTTTTGATGAATAGTGGCAAAGAAGTGAGAGAGAAAGAAAGAGCCTGAAAGAGCAGGAAGCTTATACCAGTGAGCAAAGAGAGAATTTAAAAATTTGCACCCCCCCCCCCCTTGAGCGCCAGGGGTAAAAATCACGTGTTTTTGCATGATTTTTTTTCTCAAGGGGGGGGGGGTGGGGGCCCCCCGCCCCCCCCCCCCCCCTGGATCCGCCACTGGGGTGAGCAAAGAGAGAGAGAGAGAGAGAGAAAGAAAGAGAGAGCAGCTAGGAAGACTATATGGGTGAGCAGAGAGAGAGAGAGAGAGAGAGAGAAAAAAAAGGGGGGGGGGGGGTATATACTCGTAAATAGTTTGACTCTCAAGGGAGATAAAGAAAGAAAGATGAAGACTCCTATAATGCCCATAAATGAATCACCCAGAATATTTGTGTAATTAATCATTTTGGATGGAAAAATACAAAAATCTCTTGATCCTTTCAAATGTTCCATTTCATTTTCAGACAAAATCCTTTTTTTTTCTGCTGACGTTGCCACTATATTATCGTTCATCATCATTCATTGTTTTGAGTACAAATCTACTCAATTTGGAAGAAAGGAAACTGAATTGTGCATAATGATATCCTTCATGTAAAAACAAAATTACCTTTGCAATTAAGGAGTATTATGTAAGCTTATTTTTTGCTCTTACATTTTGGGTACATATAGCGGCACCCCTTGTGAAAATAGTTTAGATATTACATGTAGGCCTACTATCTGGGGTCATGAATGTGCCTGGAATGAATTAAGATTGAGGGATATCTAGGCCTAATTCGCATTTTTATCTTTGATATATGTATATGTTTAGACAAACATGGGAGGAGGATAGCTTTCTATGTTTATTATAATTATAAAAGTAATAACAATGATAGGAATTATTATTAATACTAGACCCTATTATCATTAGGCCCTATTATATTATCGTTATCATATAGTTATCATTGTTATTATATTATTATTATTATTATTAGACTATTAGTGTTATAATTATTATCATTATTATTATTATTATCATAATTACAATTTTTTTTTAAAATTATTATACTTTTATTATTATCGCATTAGGCTAGGCTGGAAAATGTTGTGTATACGATTTTCCTCAGATCAAATTGAACGAAAAAACTTTGTTTTGAATGGCCGACAGAGTATTGACCAATAGGAAGAGAGCATTCAGGAAGCTGTGACCAATCAGAGACAACAATTTGATACACACCGCCATTTTTAAATACCCTGTGTGAATTGTATTTTGTGTCGTGCAGCTGAAAAATAAACGTGTTTTGATCTAAACCAGAAGAAATATCATCATTTCCAGTAAAAAGTTGAAGTCTCTGAGCCACAAGTGACCATTGCAGATGTATATCACCATTACGCCATTGATTAGGTAACTAAAACCCCTCTTTTTACCGTAAAATATAGAATCTACATGCAAGGTCGTGCCGCACCGTGAGGTACCGACGCACGCAGGTCGCAGCCCGACGGGCCGGCCGCGACCGAGGGAGTCAGACCCGCCGTATAGCCTCACGCCCGTGAAGTGACTTTACAGACAGTTTTTCTTATGTAGGCCCTAGTTAGGCTACACCATTCCAATGTGAATATGTTATTGTGTGAAATACAGGAAGAAAAAGATATCTGCATGATGATCTAGTGCGGCATTACATTTTAATGTTGTTTCATGTAAAAACCCAGGGCCAGGCCAGCGCAGAGGCGCAGAATTTAATCTTTACACTAGGGCCTACAGCCTGTGATTTTTTTTATGGCTTTAAATAATGTCAATAAATGCGCTCGTGAAGTGTCTAGCTAGCTCAGCTAAAATAGTACTGGGTTATAGACTTGTCTAGTCCGCAAAAATGCAGACCATCCTCATTTTTGAGGACGCATTTTGTCAGCGTTTATAACTTAAGGAAGATCCTCATTCTCGGACCAGTGCAGTGCAGTGCCCCTACTGATAGTAGACCTAGTACTACTACTAGTACTAGTATACTAGTAGGGTGTCTGAGAGACTCAGACGATGGACCACATCTTACAGTGCGGTGGAACGGGTTGCACAGACGAAGACCTGGCCCTTGTTAATTAATGAAACGGCCATTGCAACAATCGGGCGATTGAAGAACTTAATTAATTTAATTTGATTTTAATTAAGGAACTTTACATAACTATCTTGATCTCAGCAGACACGAACGAACGAGCGACTCGGTGTTAGCTCAATTGGTAAGGACAGTTTACATTTTGTAGTCTAGTTAATAAAACGTTGGGTTTGTTGCTGTTGTCATGCAATGGTAACTTGCGGGTTCGAATCTCAGTATTTATTCAGTTCTATTTTTTGCCTTTATAAATAGTGAGGCAAAGCAATTAATTTAAAATGAACAAAGTCTACTTGTTTGTGTTGTTACCTCTTTCCAAGCTGCTAATGGTGTAAAACTTATCAGCCAATCAGTTTGTAGAATCTAGACACTTTGCGAGCACGCTTATTGAAATTTAAGCCGTAAAATTATTCTGCTTTGAAGTTTGAAGTAAGTAAATTCTTTTAGTGGAGCTTTAGATTAAATTGTTTCATCTTTCTGATTTTCAAATACAGTGAATGCTGAATTCACAGAAAGAGCTTGGCGGATCCAAGGAGATTTGTTCTGAATTCTTCAAATTGGGTCCAAGGAATATAAACTGATTGAATCCGCTCTATGCTACGCCGCTTCTAAGGATTGACCAGACTTCACACTTTCAAAGATAATCACTTTTCTCCAGAGACTGAAACAGTATACCTCAAGGATTGAAGAGACATGGCTGTTCAGGGAGTTGTCAGACAACTGAGAGATTTGGCCAAAGATCCACAGAACAGGGAAAAGATTGTCAAGGTAATTACATGTTTATGTCTTGTTTGCTTTATTTATGTTTTCTAATGCTGTTTCAAATCAATCTAAAATGTGAATTATACAGTGTACATAGTGCAAAGTTATTTTACTGGGATTTTAAATGTTTGTTGTTTGTTACTTTCATCCATCCAAAAGATATTTGATAAAGCGCCTTTTCCTTGCAGTTACTTTGTCTACTTAATTTGTACCATATTGTTTCCCCCTCTCAATAATTGTATTTCTCTCTCCCTCTCTGTCTCTCTCTCTTTCTCTCTCTCTTTCTCCCCTTCTCTATTATTTGAAGGATATTACTGTAGATCAAAAAAAGATTATAAATTATTCTCTTCCCTATTATTTCCAACAGGATCAAGGTTGTTTACCTGGCTTAGTTTTATTCCTGGACAACGATGACCCTATTGTTGTGTCAACTGCACTGGAGGTTTGTACATTTCATTTCGAAATCTGGCTCAACTTGTATAGGGGAGAAGATGGTTGGCAAGTTTGTATAGAAATTATTCTTGCCTTGTTTCACAAACAAATTAATTTACATGTACTTACAATTGTTATGTTGTAAATGATAACAAAATTACAAACTTGGAACAAATATTTAAGAAGCATGTTGGGGCAAAACATTCCAATACCAATGCAGAGTCTGCTGCCGATGCAAGTAAATACATCTAATTCTATAAAAAAAAAAAAAGAAAAAAAAAAAAAGAAGAAGAACAATTATTGTGCTTTTGCATGTATTTCATCATTGACTGGGTACACATCTCTTTTGGGGGAAAATTTAAACTTATTTCACTGCACAGAGTTTTAATACACATGTACAATGTATTCAATCCAACAGGCTATACAGTACCTATCAGAGAGCGCAGTCAATCGTCCACTCATGAAGAAAGAACTTGGAATGCTGGTTAGCCTAGAAGCTATCACAAACAAGTAAGAAATCAGTAGATATTGTAGTTTCTACTTTCTACACATGTAGGGGGGGGGGGGGGAGGGGGTAGGATTTTTACGCCACGTGTTCGTGTAGTCCCATATACATCTTTCTGTGTACAGTGTTTGTAACTTTACCAAGACTTGGCCAAATTTCTTATAATTTTGCTGATTCCAGAACCTTGCAATACACACAAATTTTTATATGCTAGATGATCAACCTTTTCTGGTCGATTCCACACCGTTTCTTTCACAATGCAATCGCATGACCAGAACTCAACTTCATCTTTAACCCTTACTGTACTGGGCTATTTTGAGCACCTCCTGACTGGGGGGGGGGGGGGGGGGGGGGCCTGGGAGGCCCCCCCCCCCCCCTATGATCTCGGCCGTCAGATGTCCGATGAACACAAAAATTTGCATGTTTGTAGATATTTACGTAACGAACAAGATGGTGTAATTAGTTTTTTGCGAATATGCAAATTTTTGTCGTTATAGCCTAATTAATTATGCAAAATGCTAATTTTATGCATTTTACAGAAAACGTGCCAAACTCCACTTTTTGAATGTTGAAACTCATTATTCATATGAAACTTCTTTTCTAACACAAAATATTTATTTTGATGTAATTAATAATGATAATTTATGCAAATTTGATGCGATTTTCAAATATTTATTTTCTTATGTATTTTATTGTTTTTTTATTTCTTATTATATCTATTGTTTTTATTTCTTATGTATTCTTTTGTTCTGGAATACATCAAGTTACTTTGAGAAACATATAAAAGCAATTCGATATCAATTCATATCACCCACTTAGGAAGGAATACATCTAAACCTGTATTCACATTTCTGCTTGTACATGAATATAAGCAATTATAGCATATTTTTGATGACATGCGCATACTAATTGTTATGTAACACCTCACAGGTATATCCGATTGCGACGAAAATGGTATCAAAACATGCGTAAGACTTGAGGGAAAAAAGTCATGAAACGACAATTCAAAATTTCAAGCGGAAAATGTCGAGGAAGGGGGGCCTCCCAGGCCCCCCCCCCCCCCAGTACAGTAAGGGTTAAAAACCCTGCCATGTTTAAAATCTATACATTACAAAAAACAAAAACAAACAAATATTTTACATCTTTAAAACTAACACCCTTTTTTTAGTTCATGTTTGCTTTCATCAGTATGATACTAGAGGGTATAGAGGTGTTATTTGATTCTAACTACAGTTACAAATTTCCATTGCTCCTATCTCTTTTTGCAGTGCTGAGAGTGACACAAGGAGCAAGAACCTCGCCCGTAGCATCCACAATCGACTGACTGCCCCACCCACCCCCGGCCCCTTGAAGGAGAGTAGTAACCCCAACATACCCAAGGGGAGCAGGGGCGGTGGAATGCACCCTGGTAGCAAGTTCTTTGTCGGTACTAGCAAGAAAAAGAAATCGAAAATCCTCACACTACAGATTAATGGCCTTATGAACATTGTGAGTATATTGTTGAGTCATGGTGATATATTTAAGATTTTATTAATTCAGGATTCCCAGCTGAACCCTGGAAATAAGGAAAAAGCTGGAAAATTGAGTTCCCTTTTTTCCATCGAGTTGAAAGTCAAAGAAAATGAGGATGAAAAAGATCTCTCAAGTCAGGAATTTCCTTGGCCCATAAAGAAACTAATTGGTCTCTTATATTTTGTGTCGTGCCAACAAGGAGAAGACAAGGATAATGATAATATGTTGACATAAAACCCCACCAGGGAAAACTCAAAGACTTTGATAATAATCTCTATTGAACCTTGGGTCATGCATGGTAATGTGAATCTGTTCAGACAGTTCAAGCCTAAGATGAAAAAGGGCATTAGCTCTTGTTCAAACAACCTTCTAGCACTATGAACATGACAGACAAAGAAAGCGGACAAAATATACAGTTCCTCAGGTAGACACAGGAACATCCCTTCACTGCCATTATGTAAAAAAGGTGAATATGCATGTGACACCTGTTATACACATTTTTACATAATAGCAGTGAAGGGATGTTCCTTTGTCTAACTGAGGAACTGTATATTTTGTCTGCTTGCTTTGTCAGTCATGTTCATAGTGTAGCTTTTTAGCAGATGGTAGGCCTACATTGTTACCATATATGAAAGAATCATGCCATTGATACATGTGTCTCCTTTCTAGGCAAAGATGGTATATTGCAGACTGCCCTCTATTGACAGAAATATTACCTTGGACCCTCTGCAAGACTGCAACATATTTAGCCTTAATTATTCTCTCTGCCTCTCTTTGTCTCTGTCTCTCTCCATCATAGCTTTGTGAAGTTAGTAATTTTAGTTCCATACCTGGAATAAATCAGTTAATTTTGTTTTCTTGTCTTTGTTGTCAAGGTTGCTTGTACAATATTTGAGTCATGCAGAGCCATAATGAACTACATCTACTTGTAAAGCCATGCCCTTCATTTACAAATGTGACGTCTTTATTAATAATTCTAAAAATCTCTTTATTCACCAGGAGTGCCGTAGATCTTGCGAAGAAGAGCTGTTGAAAGTCAAAGGGGTTGTTAGTTTCACCTTTGACCTTTTGAAGAAACGTTGTGAGCTGAGGACCAGAATAGACATGAAACCAGAGGTGGGTATACATACACATGTACATGTACATGTGCACCCTGTAATCAATCTATTTTTCAATTACATGATAAATTGATTTTAATTAAAATGAGATCAAGTCCAATAATTTTTTTTTTTTTTTTTGTGTGTGTAGAAAAACGATTTGCAGAAAGTAAAATCTGATCCCCCACCCCCAAATTTAGATGTAGCTTGCTTAAAGGCATCGTTTAACAATGTTAAATCTGAGATGCATGGCCCTACGTGTTATCAGTGTCTGTGCGGTCTAATATTGAAGCCATGAAGTGCCTCAAATTCAAAAGGGTAAAAATCTTTAAGGTTTTACCATACTCTTTTTCCCCATTAGACTGTAGTGTAATGAAATCTATAAGGAAAACAAAAAATGAAATTTCGATTTCCAATCATAAATATCTTGAAAATCAGACAGGCGATCGGTTTAAAACAATGAAAGTCATGGGGTTCCTGACTGACCTAAAGACTTATAACTATCATTGCAGCATGAGCTAAATCCAGGATTTTGTTTCAGAATCTAATACAAAGTTACCCAATCCCTTTAAAGAATCTTGAAAGCCATCTGCACATGTTTCTTTTATCACTTTCAAATACCTTGCAGGCCTGCCCCAAAATAAACTGTTTTTTGAAAGACCTTGATCTGTGTATGATAATCCAGATTTTCTTCTTCATGAAATCAATATTTAAAATCCCACTTCCTGCTGCGAAGAATGCAACGAGAATAATAATAATATAATATTCCGCTTTGATGTAGCACCCAATACAGTACATCAATGCAATGATGTGTCTAAGCACTTTACATATACATTATTACCCCGGTCATCAAATTCAGGCTTACCCAAAATGAATGCTTGCTTTCGTATTAACTTCTGAAGTTCATATTTGATGACCTAGAAAACTGATGTATGCAGTGCACTTTCCTGTTATGATGTAGTGAAACAGGAATTTACACAGGTATTGCATCAAACGGCTATGTTTGTGAATGTTCCACGTACATGTGCATCTGTGCCAAGGTTGAAAATTGGTCTTTTAAAGGGCACTTTGTCCTGTATGTGTACAGGCATTGTTTCTTATCTCCACTTATATTCTACCGATAGATGGATGATGATTGATAGAATAGCACAGAAAGCTAAAAATTGATTCTATCTTTGAAAGAAAAATTGAAATCCCAAAGAAAACTGAAATTAATGTCATCATTTGGAAAGCGAGTACATGAACATGGAGTATCTTTTGATACCAAATTTGTTAGGGACTATATTTTCGATCAAAAGAAGGAATAGCCTTCAATTACATTTTAATAACAAAAATAACCAGAAAAATTCCTGTGACAAGATCAGAAAATTACTGATCACTACTGAAGAAACAACCTTGCAACAGAAATTCCTTTCCTCCATGTATTATTTCTCCCTATTATGTTGATGCTATGTACTTGGATAAAGCACAAATCTTCCCACATCTCCTTTATTCCTTCTTTTGATTGAAAAATGTAGCCCCTATGCTAAAAAGTTAGTATGGAAAGATGCTACTTGGGATAAAGCACCACCCCCTCCTCCCCTAGCGGCCCCGCCTCCCCCATTCATTAACCCTATCTTAATGAGGTAGTTTTTACGGAGTCAAATTGACCCCCCCCCCCCAGTGGATAAAGACTAGAGTACACCCCAGCAACCCTGCAGCTCATGGTTATAGGAACAGCTGAAACATGTCAATATCAATTATAAGCTCCATTAGGTTTTCCCAGGCTGCTCAAGATTTGTGTTTAAGAGGGACGTAATTTGATCTTTATTGGCAGGCTTATCACGCAGGAAAGTGCAGTTCAGGCAGAGAATTTCATTCATTAAAGGAACAAATGATAGGATCCTAGTATAAACCATTTTCTTTACTTTGATGAATAGATCATTTCGAAATGACTAGATTTGAGTTATTTGTATCCGAAAGATATTGAATAATCTTATACAACCAGCCATCCATTTTTGTCCATTATTGTTTTAAATATATACTATGATTTAATTCAGATATTTATATCACCCACATCTTTATGAACTTGAATGAAATTGACAGATTTATCTAATTGAACTGGACTCCCCACTAACTTCTGGGGTCCAAAACATTTTCGGGCATTTTCGGCCTCTCCGTGAGGTTAACAGAAAAACAAAGGTAGAGAGATAAACCCTACTGTTCCTAGAAGTCGCCCCAGTATTTCTTCCATGCATGATTCCGGTCTCATGTTGAGGTTTCGGAATAAATATTAAATACTTCATCCCGGCTAAGTCCAACAGTAATTCCAGCCAAATCCCAGTTACACACCAGAAATCTCAGCATAAAACAATACAATTTTGACCTGTTACACATGTATCAAATATACAGTTGTTATAAGCTATTACTTTCATGTATTATATTGACGAGGTTATAAGTATAGGCTAATTGTATTAAGGTTTATGTAATATAATGTTGCACTATCTTGTATCTTAATTATGCAATTAATGTTTTCGATTTTGTTTGTTGAGGGAAAAAGTATTTCAAAACAAAATCACCCCCCCCCCCCCAATAAAAGAAAACACACAGCCACTGTGGAATGGGCAACTCTCTTTGCAAGCACAGCGTGTGTTTGTGTGGGGGGGGGGGGGAATTGTGTGTATTTTGGACAAAGGTGTGAATTGATAATTGATTTTTGATTTATTTCTTTATAGTTTACATTCTTAGTTTTTCATTTCTTGATGAAGGATATAAATCAAATGTACCATGCACTCATAGTGTTCGAGGCACCTGTAAGTTATGGATATAATATAGATTTCCTTGTACCAATATACAATATTTGAGGCCCAATGTTTATGAGTTGCCTATTGGTGTTGAATACTGAATTGATGAGGGTTTTATTTCTTTCTATTTTCTCTCATTTTCTTTCAGGTGCTTATTGCTGCCATTTCAAGGACGGAGACAATGTCAGCCGAGCAAGTCGTTAAGAATGAACATGGTGAAGAGGTAAGAACAGTAAACCTAGTCATTATTTGTTAAATAAGGTACATGTATCTTGTAATAGGGACATTAACTAGTCAGAGGGGAGAGGAGGGGAGGGGGGGGGGGGGTTATGTTCAATTGGGCCAAAGTAATTTGTTTTTAAATCTTGGTTCGTTATCTAGAAGAACCATTCAGGGCATGAAGTTTATATTATGCATGCTTCGTTATAGGTGATTTTATTTGGAGGCCAGACAAGTATATGTAGGTTATTCAATGAGGTCAATTTCTGTCTGTACATGTTAATTTCCTGATACTTTATTTTTGTCTTTAGAAGAAAAGAAATTTAATTATGAATCAGTAATTTATTTAAAACTAAGTTTTGTATCTGTGGACCAAGAATAGCATTTGTTTGGTTTAAAATCATATATCAAAAAAGTTAAAGACTAAACTTTTAGACACATATAGATGTACATGATAGAATCTCGGTTTGTTTGACTCTCGACTCAATCTCTTTCTCAATCTCCCTTTTCTAGAGCTTTTGTTTTTGTCTTCTACTATTTTCCTCCATTCATTTTTTTTTTCTTTTCTTTCTTTTTCTTCCTCATTTTTTCTTCTTTTTTTTCTCCTTCTTCCTAGCTACATATTGTCTATTTATTGATCTATAAGCATACTTTGTTCATGTTTTATTGTAAAATTTGCATCTGAGGAACTAACACTTCAACAAGCTCTGCTTCAAGTTAGTTCCTCTTTTCTCGTGCTATTTCCACTATATTTATCGTTTCATTACATATTTGTTTGTTATGATATAATTATTTTTGTATTATGTTTTGCATGAGAAATAAAAATCAATCAATCATATCAGTGTATACCCTTCTGGCTCCAAACAGACAATTTGTTGTAAAATGCTGTGGGGGCAATAAGGTATATATTTAGGTATCAGTCACAGGGAGAGAGAGGCCTTCACTTTTTTGACCAACCGGCCTTACGTAAATCACTGCTCCATTTTTCCTTTCACTCTATAAGGAAAAGCATCATGGTACATTTCCTTCACCCAAAGGCTCTCTAAAAGGGTAGAGGGTGGGGGGGGGGGGGCATTTCTTGCTGGGACATCCAGTTTTCTCTGTGCGAGAAACTTGTACACCCATTGATGGTACATGTATTTCCACTAAGTCCAGTGTCAGCGAATAGATATGGAAACTTCCTACTACATTTAAATCTCTTTAAAGCCTATCAGTACTAGTTTGGCTAGGAGGGATTAGACCACCCTGCAAGGTTGCTGGACAGGTGGTTATCTCATCGAGCCAGCTCTCAACTAACATAAAAAAAGAGGACCATGGGGGACCAACAGGCACCGATTAGGCATTGTTTGCTATATAGAGGGCGCAAGTAGCTATAAGTAGTGCAGTGGGGCTTTAATCATTATAATTTATCATTAGTGAAGAAAAACAGTATAAATGAACGCTCTTGCTCTTTGGCTTGGTATCATCATCACACAGGTGATCCTATCCTTCGGTGCCAACCCAGCCATGGCCAACAAGGAGAACAGCCATCACAGTCTACCAGACTACCTCCCGGAGGACAACAGTCCTATCAGAGGGTGCCACAACAAGGCCATCAAGAACATCGACCAGGGTGACGAGGAGAGGCGAGGTAGTTGGATCGGTGCTGCTGCATCATTCATATCCACCAATTTCTACTGGTGATGGGTTAGAGAGTCAATGTCGTGAACTTTGTACTGTGTGACCGAAGGGTCGAAGGGTCTTTGTTTCACAAAGCCTTTTATTAATGCAAATAACAAAAATTAGTGACAAATCTGCTGATAACCAATCAGAAGTAAGGATTTCAGTAGCTTATAACAAAAACTGTCATTTGTCACTGATGACAAGTTTTGTGAAACACCCTTTAGGGCTTCTGCATTTCATATTCATCTGCTACAGGCTTGTCCACATGTATGCTTTGGTTTACTACAGAAAGTTATCTCGTGTACTAAATGAATACCAAGTAGGGTAGAACAAGTAGCTTAATGCAGAAAAGGGCATATACATTGTATGTGCACTGACTGCACTCACATATCTGTGTGAAAAAAAAATACAAAGTGTGAGTAGTCATGTGAAGAAACCTCATGAAACCACATGATGATATACAGGGAATAATTTTCCTGGTATCGCATCGCAATTTGCTATGCATTTTTGCATGACTGCTATACAAAATATCTTTTGTGTAGCAGTTTTCTTCCATAGAAATGTACAGAATTTCATTTGAAATATTCATCCATCGCCTGAAATTGCTAATCAAAAAATTTGAGGAAAATTATTCCCTGATATAGTTTAAAATGCAATCATGAGTACCGTATGTATTTGACAAAATAGCTGGTACCTTTGGGAACCACACTTTATAAGAATTATTTCAATTTCTCTTATTCTCAGAGCATTTCTTTTATGTTTGGTTTCATTCACAGCCCTAAATTTTCATACACACATTTAAACCCCATTTACCTGTAATGCTTTCATGCACAATCCAGTACTCTTTGAACTATATATACATGAGTGTAAAAGAATATACACATATGATGTGTCATATTTGTCTTTGACACAAGTTCTACAGGACTGCCTGTCAGCAGATAGGAACAGTGTTATTTTGTTTTCTTATAGAACATTGAATCGAATACTAATTCTCATCGTATTTGTTCGACTGGGGGTGGGGGGGGGGGGAGGAATGTTTTTGCAATATAAATTTATTTCAAAAGTTAACAATACTAAAAGTTCAGTGCTTTTAACTCTATTTTAATAATTTTAGATATTTTAAATTCAGGAATACAATTTAAAGATTTCAATATCCCAACCAGGTGCTAACTGCATGTATTTGATTAAAGGGGAAGTCCACCCTGAAATTAAGTTAGTTTTAATAGGAGTAGAAAAATGAGAGAAACAAGTCAGTGAAAGTTTGAGCAAATTCCGATTAAAAATAAGGAAGTTAGGATTTTTTGAAAATTTTTGAAGTTGTGATCAATCAAACACAAATTGGCAACTCTATGACGTATCATGCGAGCTCAACTTCCATTTGCTCAGTACTGAAAAAATCTAAAATTTTCATTTTCCCTCAAGAAAAATTTCAACCATACATGCACCCTAAATATAATAATTGCAAATATGTTTCTATACTCCCCCTGCAAGGAACAAATATATATTCCGTCATCAATAACGAAGAAAACATGATTTTATGGAATATTATGCACAAAGCAAATGAAGGAGAGCTCGTATGATAAGTCACAGAGTTGCCAATTTGTATTTGATTGATCACAACTTCAATAATTCATAACTTTCTTATTTTCATTCAGAATTTGCTCAAACTTTCACTCACCTGATTTTCTTATTATTCTGCCTCTATCGAAACAAATTTATTTTGGGGGTGGACTTTCCCTTTAAGTAATTGTCCAGTCTTTAATTGTAATCAATGGACTACATATATTTGTATTTTTCTCTTTTTTATATTCTTTTGTTTTACAGCAAATCATATATATTTTGTTATTATACAGGTCAATTTTAGGGTTCTTTTAATTCGGTCGTGAGAGGGAATCGGTCGACCGGACCCATAATAAAGATTTCTTGTGTAACAGACTGTGTACATACTTTGTAAATAAGATTGATTGTAAAATTGAGAGACCAATTGTAAATAGATTGAATGGATAAGAACTCAAAATTATATAATGTGTCATTATTGTTGTTTTAATTAAGGCGATTGAAGCTGGAATTTAAAATAGTGATGAAGATGATTACGATTGTCTGAATGATGATGAGAAGGAGAATGGTGATGATGATAGTGATGGTTATGATGATGAGGATGATGGTGATGGTGATGAGGATGATGGTGATGGTGATGGTTATGACGATGGTGATGGTGATGGTGATGAGGATGATGATGATGGTGATGGTTATGATGATGGAGAGGATGATGATGATGGTGATGATGATGATGGTGATGGTGATGATGATGGTTATGATGATGGTGAGGATGATGGTGATGGTTATAATGAAGGTTAAGGTGATAATTAGCATGATGGTGATGGTGATGATGATGAGGATGATGATGATGAGGATGATGGTGATGGTTATCATGATGAGGATGATGATGATGATGATGATGATGATGATGAGGATGATGAGGATGAGGATGATGGTGATGATGATGATGATGACGATGATGATGATGAGGGTGATGATGATGATGATGATGATGAGGGTGATGGTGATGATGATGAGGATGATGATGATGATGATGATGATGATGATGAGGGTGATGGTGATGGTGATGATGATGGTGATGATGAGGATGATGATGATGAGGATGATGGTGATGATGTTGATGATGATAGTGATGATGATGGTGATGGTTATGATGATGGTGATGATGGTGATGATGATGATAGTGATGGTTATGGTGATGATGAGGATGAGGATGATGGTGATGATGATGGTGATGGTGATGGTTATAATGATGGTTAAGGTGATGATGAGCATGAGGGTGAGGATGATGATGATGGTGATGGTTATGGTGATGGTTAAGGTGATGATGAGCATGAGGGTGAGGATGATGATGATGGTGATGGTTATGGTGATGGTTAAGGTGATGATGAGCATGAGGGTGAGGATGATGATGATGGTGATGGTGATGATGATGGTTATGATGATGGTGATGGTGATGGTTATAATGATGGTTAAGGTGATGATGAGCATGAGGGTGAGGATGATGATGATGGTGATGGTGATGATGATGGTTATGATGATGGTGATGGTGATGGTTATAATGATGGTTAAGGTGATGATGAGCATGAGGGTGAGGATGATGATGATGGTGATGGTTATGGTGATGGTTAAGGTGATGATGAGCATGAGGGTGAGGATGATGATGATGGTGATGGTGATGGTGATGGTTATAATGATGGTTAAGGTGATGATGAGCATGAGGGTGAGGATGATGATGATGGTGATGGTTATGGTGATGGTTAAGGTGATGATGAGCATGAGGGTGAGGATGATGATGATGGTGATGGTTATGGTGATGGTTAAGGTGATGATGAGCATGAGGGTGAGGATGATGATGATGGTGATGGTTATGGTGATGGTTAAGGTGATGATGAGCATGAGGGTGAGGATGATGATGATGGTGATGGTTATGGTGATGGTTAAGGTGATGATGAGCATGAGGGTGAGGATGATGATGATGGTGATGGTGATGATGATGGTTAAGGTGATGATGAGCATGAGGGTGAGGATGATGATGATGGTGATGGTTATGGTGATGGTTATGATGATGGTGATGGTGATGGTGATGGTGATGGTGATGATCATGATCCTAATCATAAAAATGAGGGTGTATTGATAAAATTGAATCTAGTTGATGATAATGATTAAGGTGAGAAGGATTATAATGGTAACAACAAATTAAGATGAGAATAATGAGTATGATGAGATTCATTACCCCCCCCCCTCTCTCTCTCTCTCTCTCTCCCCCCTCTTTCTTAGTCTCTCTCTATCTCTCTATCTCTCTCTCTCTGTTAGTCCAAAGACAACTGAAAAAGGGGGAACCATCCCATTGGTCCTCGTAACCCCAAAGACTGACCGGTCATTGAGCATAGCATAAAATAAAAATAACAAAAGGGGGTCAGAACCCCCATGTCCCACCCAGAATCGGGTAACGGATAGTGCCATTTGAGGATCAATGTTGAGTATCTGTACTAGATTTTCTTCTACATGTATATTCGTTTGCCAAACGGATGGAAAAACAAAGAAAATCATATTTATATTTTGAAACATTTAAAACTATTTTGCAATGTACATGGTGTACGAACATTAATAAAGGGAATTCGTGCACTTTTCAAGGAAGATATTTTTTATTTAAAAAACAAATCTTGTTCAGTTTCATTTTAAGTTCTTTCGCGGTGCCTTATTTTAGCCATGTCAGGGCTAGGTAGCTAAGTATTCTACTCCAAAACACCAAAACATTCTCGCATGCAGTGAAGGGTAAAAACCATACCAAAACGAAAAGCGTATATCAACACGATGAAGTATTATAACCCGCGTAATGCGTGCACTTAACAGTTACTGTGATTTATTTATACATGCATTTCATTACCATAACAATGCAACAATAGAGGGTTAGAGACGCCTCATGAGCCTGTGATATTAGATGCATCCTTTATATTCGTATTTCAATCTGACGTGATTGATAGACGGTGTCTTTTATTCAATGCATCCAATATTCCCTCTTCCATAGTATCATATATACAAGCAGTATTCGTATACGTTTTATCCAGGGCATTGTTACCTAACCTCTTTCTCAGATAGCATTAATTCGGATGCATCTAAATTCATGAGTTGTAAATCCGTGGATTAGTCAAGCTATTATACAATGGATATTCTGATGAAGGATTTGATGCAAAAGTCCCTAGATAGCTCAGTAGTGTGTTTGACGTTTGCTCTTTCTCTACACGCAATTTTCGCTGTCTACCGAAAAAGGTAATTTCTAAGGTAATAGTTATATGAGGAATAATGTAAAAAAAAGGGACACATTTAGTTTTCATGATATTTGATACTTTTTTCAGGAAGTGTGTGATCCTCGAGAATGGGAGGAAACATTTCCACTCCACAATGGATTTAAAAAGCAATTTGTTTTTTTTTATTTTGAACAAAAATGAACGGACAAATATCCTGTGGAAAATTTGGTTTTGTGTTCCCCTTTCCAAATCGACGAGATGGGGAGGGGGGGGGGCGTAGCCTGACCCACATAAATGCTTTTCGGTCTATACTGTGGCTTCCCATCTTGGCCTAATTAATAACCTATTTTGTTTTCTGATTTCTTATGAAACTGCAAGCGAGGCGCCTTTTATCTTCTCTCCATTCGCACTTCAAAACCATAACACTGTGAACAAAGCATTCATAGTGTTTGCAAGGGAGGGAGCTTAGTGGAGGGGGGGGGGGGGGTAATTGACGTTATGTACATTTAATTAGTCCGACGTCAAACGAACTAGAATGTTAAAGCAGAAAAACAAATAAGCAAGAAACAACAACTAAAATATATCAATACGGAAAAAATATGAAAATCATGGGGAAAGACAGACAATCACTAGTGGTGACTAGATTTCTGTTTCTCAGTCGTGATTTTATTTTATTCTAGTTTTGTTTGCATCCCCATCTTACTGGGTCAAGTTCCATATAAATCAATTGAATTAGAATCTATTATTTTTCATTAAAACAAAAAACCTAACACGAATGGATTATCATCAAACAACTGTAATATCATCAAAGCATTTCAAACCAAACTATAGCATTATCAAACATATCAACATACACAAAAAAGGTCAACAAGAATAAAAACAAATCATTACTAAGTGACAGAACACAAACAAACAATAATCAAAAAAAAGACATAGGCCAATTGAGTCAATGTATTTGTTTTTTATGATGTTGGAGCTATAGTTCATCCAGACGTTGGACAAAGCCCTCCTCATAACATTTCCATTCTCTTCTGTCTCTAGCTGTCCTATAGTCCAAGCGGCCGTTCCCATGTATGATGTTAGGTCATCTCTCCATCTTCTCTTCTGCCTTCCTCTTCTTCTCTTTCCCATCCTTGGTTGCCATTCTGTTAAACGATTTGTCCATCTATTGTCCTGAAGTCTTGCTACATGCCCAGCCCATCTCCATTTTGATTATCTGACTTTCTCCATGATGTCTTTAACCTTTGTTTTCTGGCGTATGACTTTGTGGTTGATTTTGTCTCGCAGAGATAAATGCGAAGAAGGGAGAAAGAGTTAATGTACTTTTGAGGTGATCTGCTTGATGAGAGCCAATCGGGCACTAGCTTTGTGTTAAATCATATGAGTTAGCATCCGCTCCTAACAGACATGAAAGTGTAAAGCTACAATTTGCATGATTTGCAGACAAAACAGTATATCAAGACAATAAAAAGGCTTTCATGTAAATAATAAATTCACTTTTATTAGGCTATTTACTCACTTCCGAACCAACTGACAAAATACAACGCTTACATCGGGCCTGCAAAGTGCACTGACTCACACATGGAATTATCGGGATATTGGACGAAATATCAATGTTTAACAAGTCATAAACGTCATGAAAGTCGAATTCATCTTATCTCTCAAATCCAAATCTAGTCATCTGCTTGTTATCATTGGTTAGTTTAATCAAACTATAATACATGGATTTGTTTATAAAGATCGATTTCTATTAAAAAAAACCTCCTATACTGATATAACTACCATGACTATCTTGATTGTACGGGCATAATGATTTCCAAAGCGCTAAATCGCTTTTTGGGGGGATCCTCCCCCCCCCTTTCCTTCTCCCCACTTATCCTAACTGATATTTGTTATCATTTTAAAAGCACCAATACTGAATAGGCCTATTTACATTAATTTGTTAAAATGTGTAAAATAGAGCTATCACGTTGATCTATTTTACATCATTTGCAATTTGATTATTGATGGTTATTAAAAAAAAAGAATTCCTCTCATCTTTACCATCATAAATTATATCTAACATGTCAAACGGACCATAAGTGATAGCAACATTATTTAATGTCACAATCAAGCGGGACGGATATTGATACAAGAACAATTCTGCACTGTAAAAACATTGGGTAAAATTTGCCTAACATGGACGTAATGAGATGCCCAACCGTATCGTAGGCAACTTTATGCACAACTCTCCTTGATTTCTTGCTAAATAAGCCTTTATTTGTAATGTAACCAAATTTTATGCATAGTTTGTGAAGTGCCCGATACGAATTGTTTCACGAACCCACTATTCAGAATACGGATTGCCTTATTTACCTATAATATAGTAAAGGTGACATTGCCCAAAACAATTCGATCGGACACAACTATTATTTCTCTTAAGTTGAAAACAACAAAAATGACCAGTTCTTAACATGAAAATAATGTACTACCTTATAACGGTATGTAAGATGATTGTTTCGTAATAACAATATGTCCAAAATGTACAGGTGCCTCCTTACGTTCTTTGCTACTTGTGTAGCCAGCTATGGATTGTAACCTAATTTTCCAGCATATTTTATCTGTTTATCTCGAAGCTTGACTCTAATTTTTGATGATAATGTTGCCCTCATGAAAACATGAGACTGATGATATTGATTTCAACTGGATGGAGTGAATGTTTACATTATTATTCAAAAGAATCAGGCATCAAGAAACAATGACAGAATATTGCACTACTAATTACCCTAACAACTCGTACGTGACAGTTCTCATTCTTAATTTATATCACTGTAATAAACATTTTCAAGGTATTTACATCTATGCTTAATACGGTTGGTAAATCTACTCTAGCTATGACTCCACATACGTTTTGACAAGAGCTTCAAATGAATAGATGATTCCTATACAACCGCACCCAGCACCTGCTAACATAATAAGAATATCTATCACTTTGTTCCACAATTTTAGTTCATGCCACTTTAACCTGAGATGGAACCAACATGGCCAGATAAAGGACAACATGGTCCCTGTAACGCTTCCTATAAGCCCCATCAGGATTGCAAAATGTGGGATGAAGACGGCTAAGAGAACACTGACGCAGATTAGGAGTAGCCGGAGAGGAATGGACCAGACGGTGAGCATGCCATCGTGGGAGTAGCAGGAGGGGAGGACGGTTGTAGGGCGGCCCTGGAAGAAGGCCCGTTCCAGGAGCTCCACGGCTGCGAAGTAGGGAAGAGGGAAAGACAGCAGCGCTTTGGCTACAAGAACTAAATTGACGATAGATCTGAAGGAGTGGGTTGGGAGGTTGTCCGATATGACCTCCTGCGTGCTGAGGCCGAAGGTAAGGTAAGCGACGTAGCCGAAGAAAGCCTTGAAGAATCCTGCCAGACCGTGCGTCCATAGCATCATCCGCTTAAAGTAGCGCCGATCCACCATGTTGCCTTCCAGACTGGGTAGGAAGATGTGCGAGGTGTAACTGAAGACGACGATCCCCAGAGACACGGGGAAGTAGTGGATATGGATCCGAAGACTCGTGTCCTTCCAGTGCCAGTGTCCAGCCTGAGCGAAACAGAACCCCAGGATGATCACGTTGATGATGACGTGGGCGATGGCGTTACCGAAGCTGGAGCGTGAGACGGCCTTGAGGTTGCGCAGGAAAGCACAAGGCAGCACTAGAAAACAGGCTATGAGGGTCCAGGCGCTTTCCCGAAGTGGAGTGTGTCGGATGGTGTTGTAGAGCAGGTCGCCGCAGAGCACCAGGTATAGGATACAAGTCATGATCAGCTCTATGAACTGCGCCGTGTGGACAACCCTTGAGGCGAAACGTTTACCCCAGACCTCTTCGGCGATGGACACGTAGGTCTCACGCACCCGGACCCTCTCACCTGTGATAGCGTTGGTGTCGTAGAGACAGTCCACAAGGATTAATCCAGTGTAGCATGTGATGATTGCAGCTAGTACCAGGGACAGGACAGTCCAGTATCCACCGTGCATGACAGCATAAGGGAGCGCTACAAGGAACATACCCTGCAGAAAGACAAATGATAGAGAGTGATAATATTAAACGAATTGTTATACAAATTCTCCTGTGAAAAAACACGCACAACAACACTAACATATTAATTATAGGCCTCTGTTGTCCTTAACGTGCATCCACATAATGCTCCCGCAACAACCGCTCCAGACATTATTTCGTCAAAGATTATGGTAAGGGTAAAGTATAGCAACTTGTCCAGTGTTGAAATCAAAAACTCGGAAGGGGATTACCGCGAATCTTTTCGCCAGAGCAGGTACTGTACTACGGTACTAAAATCTACATCCGGCGCTAGGTATGAGCTTGGTCTAAAGTCGATTTTAACAAGGGAACTTTGTTAAAGGTCTAAGATCTAATTTCTCTATTTCGTTAATATAACCTAGACCCATTGTCGGGTGTGAATGGATTTGGAATATGAGTCAATAAGGATTATTTTGCTTGTTGTTAACAATTTCTTACTATTCATATTTTAAGCATGATTTCCCCAAACAAAAAAGCCCCATTAGCTAATCATCCAGTGGATGCACTGTTTGGAGGCAAGAAAAAAACACGAGTTTGACTTTTTTTAGGGGCCATCGAAGTTGCCCGCTATCCAAGACTTTTCTCTTGTTTCCAGGTTGAAATCCCGATATAACAGCATTATTGTTGTAACGTGACAATTTATGTTTGTTCACCTAACTAACTTCGTTTGACAATTCGAAATTTGTTTTATCAGATGTAGCAACCAACATACCCTCCAAGTATTTTCAGTTGTTTCTCCTCAACGTCCCACATCGTTTCTTTTTTTGTAACCATTAAACTTTACTCGTCTTTTCCCTCAGTTTGTCATAGTGCATACTGTGTTGAAGGTCTCCTGTTCCTCTAGCATGACTAAACGGTAAAAGTGTCCATCACGTTTTTGAAGCATTTCCTGTATCTTTATTCACTTTTTGTCTATTTCTATAAATTCTTCAATGTACCCCCCCCCCCCTGTCTCCCCCTCTCTCTCTTTATTGCTTTATCAATCAGCTATTACTACTACTACTTTTCTTTCGTTAAACGAACTTACAATATTGAACGTACAATACTTGTATTTGAGAGGAACTCGAAAAGTTTGATAGAATGAGAAAAAAACATTAGCTTCGGGCATTCAGATCTTTTAAGCAGAACATGAATCACATAACAGTATTATACATGTAAATACAAACTTCCAGGGATATTGTATATAAAATAAATAAAGAATGCTTAGTTAAATATCTTCAAGAGATAAAATGATGATCCAACACAGTAGAAGTATGTGGTGAACAACGTTAATATAATGCGAATCGCACCATATAGTCAGATGGTGAAAGGGAAACGTTGAAAACATGCTCATTGATATTGTGTCAGTCTGCCTTTGATTTCTCTCAAATCATCGTTCTCCGTCGTTAACCCCCTCTTCTCATCTCCCGTTTACCCCCTCTCCCACTTTCTCTCTCTTTCTCTTTACGCATGTTCTTTTTCCTCTCAATTCATCGTTTTACGTCGTTAACCCCCTTTTCTCTTCAAAGATATATATAAATATTTTGCTTTTTCCACCTCCCCTACTATCTCCCGTATACCCCCTCCCCTTCTATCTCTCTCTTTCTCTTTCTCTTTACGCACGTTCTTTTCCCTCTCAATCATTCGATTTATCTTTCTAATTCGTCAACCTCCTGGCAGTATTCTGTCTTTATCCTTCACTGTTCTCCCTCTCCTAGATCCCTTTTGCTTAATGCTCTCTATCCTTCTCCCCCTCACCGTTTCTGTCCCTCTCCTAAATACGCACACACAGGCAAATACACCCTCTCTCTCCCTCTCGATTTATTCCTCTCTCTCCCTCTCTCTCTCTCTCTCTCTCTCTCTCTCTCTCTCTCTATTCCTTCTACCTTTCCTATCTATCTTCATATCGCTCTCTCAATCACTCCCCTCAGTATGAGTTCCATAGACGTAGTCTCCCGTTACACGGCAAACGTACGTCTAACATGGCATTAGATCTCAACTTGATAGATAAGTCTGTCATTTGCCGGCGTCCCAAAGTGCGCTGCGATGACAATCCCAATATGTACTTTACCCAGTTGTGTAATCACAGACAGTAAACAAAGAAAAACAAAAAAAATCAAAGCAACGTTGAAGTGAGGGGAATACCTTTAGGAATCAAATTTAAAAAGTATTGCTTTCCCTTGTTTTAAAGTTATAATAATTAACCCACTTGAGGGCTATGCCACAATATCCATAATAAAAAGTGGAACATCGCAAAAACCATTTATTTATTTATTTATCGACATTTCAAGATGATAAAAAAAAGCATTCTAAAAACAAGATTTGTAAAAAAAATACAATAAGTTAAAAGTTAACCTTTAGAGCAATAGTCGATAACCATTACGCAATATACTTTCGTCATGTTTTTTTTTTCTTCAAGCAGTGATATATCGAAGGCATAATATAAATTTTTAGCAAGAATCAAAGATTATACACGGTGATGACATGCAAGCAATGCATTCATGGCATTGGCGCCACTAGGAACCCTCAAAGCAATTTGCATATTGACATGTCCCGGTATGGACTTAACCCCATTGGTTGACACACCTGTCGCTAATCCAATCATAAGGCGGCGAGGCTTGGCGCCCAAAATAGCGTTACACATGCATTAGCCTAATCTACCTCATGTTGGATGTCTTCATGTCGTAAGTATGTGTGGAGAGAGAAAGAGAGCGAGGGAGAGATAGAGAGAGCGAGAGAGAGAGAGAGAGAGAGAGAGAGACAAAGAAGGAGAGAGAAAGAGAAAGAGAGAGAGAGAGAGACTAGAGAGAGAGCGAGAGACAAAGAAAGAGAGAGAGAGGGGGGGATAAATGAAGACAAATAATTGGGACGGAGGGGAGAGAGAGAGAGAGAGAAAGAAAGAAAGGAAATTGAACGAGAGGGACAGAGTAATATAAACAAAAGGGGTGCAAAGGGAGAAATAGAGACATAATTATAAAGGATAAAAGATATGAGGAATTAGAAACAGAAGGAGAACAATAAACAAGGAGAAGAAAACAAAAATAGAAAGAGAATTAGAGATAAGGGAAAGTAGATATAGAACGAAAATGTGAAAGGGAAGGAGATATAGAGAAAGAGAGAGGAGAGAGGGGAGAGAGAGAGAGAGAGAGAGAGAGAGAGAGAGAGAGAGAGAGAAAGAGAGAGAAAGAGAGAACAGAGAGAAAGAATAGAGAGAGAGAGAGAGTTAGAGAGAGAGATAAAGAGAAAGAGAGAGGAGAGAGGGGAGGGAGAGAGAGAAAGAGAGAACACAGAGAAAGAACAGAGAGAGAGTTAGAGAGAGAGAGATATAGAGAAAGAGAGAGGAGAGAGGGGAGGGAGAGAGAGAGAGAGAAAGAGAGAGGAGAGAGAACAGAGAGAAAGAACAGAGAGAGAGAGAGTTAGAGAGAGAGAGATATAGAGAAAGAGAGAGGAGAGAGGGGAGGGAGAGAGAGAGTGAGAGAGAAAGAGAGAGAAAGAGAGAACAGAGAGAAAGAACAGTATAATTTACATATTTATTCTTTACTACTTGCGGTTTTCCATATTTCAATTTCAATGTCAATTTCATTTATTTCCACAGATTCATAAAAGACAGTATAAATTAAAATCAAATATAAAAGCATTACAACAAAAGATGAACCTGCAGCAAGGGGGGGGGGGGGGGGGCCGGGGGGCCGCCCCCCCCCCCCCTTGAGAAAAAAATCATGTAAAATCACGTGATTTTTACCTTTTTTGGGGGTTGGGCCCCCCCCCCCCCTGGCGCTCAAGGGGGGGGGGGTGCAAATTGAAATTTTTTTGAGGATCCAAAAATAAAAAATGTGCTCACTACCCCCTGAAAGTGTAACATTTAAGCACTATCAAACTTTATCACACATGCCCATACCACATCACGCACACACACACGCACACGCGCACAAAATCACATTCGTACACACCCACGTTATAAAACAAATGAAACAAATAACTTTTAACGACGCACCTAGGCTTCATGGATGATCATTAGACCTACTCGGATGTTAATACTGGTAAAGGAAAGATATCAACTGATATAAATTATGAAGGTTACAGAGAAGGAGTGTAACATTTAAACATTGTCAAACTTACGCACACCCACACACACGCCCCTCTACATGGCAAACTTCGCACAAAGGCATACACACCCACCAAACACGCACACACAAACACACACACATACCTATATACGCCCACACCAAAACAAAATAAACAATCAAACATATCATAAATAATTATGATGACCGTCCCTGTCTTCAGTAGCTTTGCAGTTAATTACTCGAATGATGGATGCGGAAGCTACCGGGAACCGAATGGATTTATGCGTATTAATCATCATCTATCTTAATATCACTGCTTTATATATGGTAGCCATGAACGTAATTGAATTGTAGAATATTTTCCTAACTAATAAAAACCCGACCGCATGCGTCTCTTCGACCGGTCTAGGAAGAGGTTAAGCTTGCCGAGCCTAAGAAAACACCCTCACATTACTAACCCAGCTACTAATTGTCTCCTGAAGCGGGATAGCTAGAGTACCAATGACTGATATGTAGAGGAGGGATGGGGTACTGGGAGATAAGATACGTTCATCCTGAAAACCTTATTTTCTTGTACCATAAGTCCACACACGGATATACACAAAACATTACCCATTAATGTATCCAGCTGCAAATCTAAATCCAAAATAGGCATTGAAAAATGTAACAGTCTTTATATTTTGGGCCCCCTCCCACATCAAGGAAATCCTGAATCTGCCACTGTATATTATGACTACTTTGTAGAGTACTTTGTGAAGAAAAATAAAGATGAAGCCTTCACAAGATTGATCTCTCAGATGTATATTTCCGCCTTTCTTACTTCATTATTATATTATCTCAGTTATTTTTTGGGTTCCTCCAGTCATTGATAGTTGTGATATACAACCTGGATACATTTGCAATATTACTTCAAATTGTAGAACTAC